TCACCGAGCAGCAACAGAAGCCCTCTATCCCTACACCCATTCGACCACAACCACATGGCCAGCCCGTTATTGCGGACAACGCATTGGAACCATCATCAATTATTGATGCCATTCACTGGACGAAACTTCCCGAACACTTCCCCGTTGCCGCCGAATCGCTCATCAAGCTGCCGTCTGGCACCCCGAAATCCATACCTAAGATTCAAGCCAAGTTCAAGCCGGAAGATGCGACAGCAAAGGCCGAAAGGATCGCAAAACTGGACAAGATCAGAAGTGTAGCAAAGAAGTCTTGGGAAGGATACAAGGCAAATGCCTGGTTACACGACGAGCTGCGGCCACAGTCTGGTACTTTCAGAGATCCCTTTGCCCACTGGGGTGCAACGTTGGTAGACGCCCTTGACACTTTGTGGATAATGGGGCTCAAGGATGAGTTCGAAGAGGCTATAAAGGCAGTGGATAGGATCGATTTCACCACGACCCCGCGCGCTGATATCCCCTTGTTCGAAACAACTATTCGCTATCTTGGTGGGCTGCTGGCTGCCTACGATTTGAGCGACAAGAAGTATAAGAATCTGCTAGCCAAGGCGGTAGAGCTCGCCGAAATTCTTATAAGCGCGTTTGACACACCCAACCGGATGCCTGAGACGTATTATTACTGGAGGCCTGATTTCGCGTCTCAACAGCACCGTGCTAGCGCACATGTTGTTCTGGCCGAGATAGGGTCACTTTCTATGGAATTCACTCGACTCGCGCAGCTCACAGGAGAACACAAGTACTACGATGCCATTGCACGCATCACGGACAACCTGGAGGAATTTCAGGGGAAGACTCAACTCCCTGGAATGTGGCCAACATATCTGGATGCTTCCGGATGCGGAAGACAGTATATCGATATGCCTCCCCAGGCGCCTCTCAAAGCTCCAGCAGGTTATCTTGACGACCTGTCGTCAACTGTTGCTGAGCCTGCTACACCCTCCCCTACCGAGATGCTTTCTCCAGAAGGCAAGAAATACGTACCATTAGACTTGCCGGACCCTGTCGTGCTTGCGCAAGATGATGTGCCGGCTGACACAGCTGCCAAGGAAGACTCCGTGGTTCCCGGTACCGCTGGAAAGGCGAAGATCAAGGATTGGGACAGCAGTGCAGTGGAAAAGCGACAGCTCGATATCGATGAGTCTGAACCACCGAAAGCGGTGCTGGATGCTCAGGTCGCCTCTTCGACTTCGTCCGCCTCTTACGCTAAGCCGACGCCCCCAGAATGCATACCCCAAGGTTTTGTATCAAGCTCCAGCTACGGACGCGAAGAGTTCACGCTAGGCGGTATGTCGGACTCTACGTACGAATATCTGCCCAAGCAGTACTTGCTTCTTGGTGGCCAGATTGAGAAGTACCGGACCATGTACGAACAGTCGATGGATGTCGTCAAGAAACATCTGATTTTTCGACCAATGCTACCGAAGGGGGAAGACATTCTCTTTTCCGGCAAGCTAAACGTCCCATCCAATATCGATGCTACCAAAGCGGGTGACCTAACTGCTGAAAACGCACATCTCACCTGTTTTGCTGGTGGTATGTTCGGCATGGGCGCAAAGCTATTCGACCGCCCTGAGGATCTTGAGATCGCAAAGAAGCTTACAGAGGGCTGCGTCTGGAGTTACAGCATGACTCCGACCGGCATCATGCCGGAATCGTTTGAGGTTGCTCCATGTGAAGACAGGAAAGACTGTACATGGAACCAAACAGCGTACTGGGAGTACATCGATCCACGATATGAGTCCCGAATAGAAACCTACAAGGAGCAGCGCAAAGTGTACGAGTCGCAGATTGCGTCCGCTTCATCATGGTATGAGGCAGAACTTGCTGCGATGACCGCACCGCCTACCCCTGTTGTAGCTGCTGCGGTTGAGGCCCAGGCCACGTCTTCCTTGGTCTACGCAGATACGCTGGATAAGCGTCAAATTATCGAACACGTAGACGATGTAGAGATTGCACACATGTCATCCGTGATCGCGTCTGCGTCTGCATCAGCGAGCGCTTCGCAGGACCACGAGTCGGTCATGGGCGGCGAGTCCGAGGAAGGCGAGGGGCCACCCACCAAAGTTCAACCTGATTCGAACATTGCGGAGCTTGCGCCGCAGGCTAGTCTTACGCTGCCCAACTTCCCATACGTCTATTCGCCACAGCCAGTCATGAACCACGAAGATTATGTGCAGAACAGAATTCAAGAGGACCGTCTGCCACCGGGTGTCACGAGGATTGGGGCCAAGAACTACATTCTCCGGTGAGTCACTTACTTTCACGACAAGGTTTATCTAGTCGCTAACATCTGGATAGCCCCGAAGCCATAGAGTCCGTCTGGTACATGTACCGCATAACTGGCGATTCACACTGGCGCGATGCAGGATGGCGTATGTTCCTCGCCATCGACCAACATACAGCCACTGAGTTTGGTAACTCAGCCATCGACGACGTTACCAAACTGACGCCGGAGCTCAACGATGAGATGGAGAGTTTTTGGCTAGCGGAGACGCTTAAGTACTTCTACTTGTTGTTTGCGGAAGAGGATCTGATTAGCTTGGATGATTGGGTATTGAATACTGAGGCGCATCCTTTCAAGCGGCCGACATAGATGACTTCAGTGAGCTTGGATTTCTGCTCAGGTTGTCGCATGGAGTTTTGGCGTGTTGATGTATGGTATACCGACTGCATTGGATAGTCGTCATTGAGGTCTGACCTTAGGTGAAACATAATAGCCATTGCATTACTCTACCCATGTAAGAACTCTATGCACTATCGCCATATCTGGTGACAACAAACCATGCATTACGCCTTTGCTACAACGGTTTTGTCTCGCCTAAAACTATCTCTGTCTTGCCTTGCAAACCACCGTCAACAGTAATTTGCACCGTCTCATCCCTTTTCCAAAGTTCTTGGCCGTCTCTGTTGCTCTGATGAGATCCAGTAAGACGTTCATTGTACCAACGTTTGGCTTTGGTAGTGTACGTCTTCGAGTTGACCTTGCTCCTGTGAATGGTAACATAGACAAGTTTCTTGCTACGAGCGGGTACCATGATGGAGTGATCGATGCCTACAGTCAGTGTGGTTGTCACACTCGTAGATTTGGAGGTTTCGTGCTCGTAGTCGAATTTGACTGCCACCTTCCATCCTACTGTAGCTTCAACAATACCAATGCCTGCTTTGCCAGATACAGAGTACTCGGCGGCCACACCAGTGGCGTATGTATCTCTCACTGTTGTGGTGATCTATGAAAGGGAAGTATAAGATCAGTGTACGTCTCACAGACATTTCTTACATCCAAAACGTACCGAGATCGTGTATTCTTTGGCGAATTTAATGGCCACCAAGGCTTGTTCGTCGCCAAGATTCTTCGCCCATATTTCCTCATAGATTGATTGATCCACATCCTGGTCGGTCTCTGCAATAACTACAGGCTGGACGACCTCGTATATTGGCTTGATGTTGCTCCATCTGAATGCTGTTATTCGGTCGTTGAAGCCGAAATCCTGTAGCTTCCGGACCTCTCGGGTTTCGCCACCGCCCATGATCCTGTTGAAGCTCTCGCCTCTGCCGTCTGGATTGTCGAAGAGCTCAACAGACTCGCGATCCAGACTTTTCCATCGTAGGGACGTTGTTCTATCGTTTATCCACCATCGATCCATGGTGTGGAGGGTTTTAGGGGCCCACTCGCTCAAGACTACAGCACATGGATATGTTAGCCGTCAAAAGCCGACCTGCTGGAATTGGAATCGACACACATATGGTAACACGATTATTCGTGAAGTCTTGGTCGTCGAAAAGCTCGATTGCGCCTTGATTCAGGTCAACCGTGCGCCAAAAGAATTGCGATATCTTGTCATTCATCTGCAACCGATCGAGATCTACGCCTTCGGTTTGTCCGGTCCCAATGAGGTCGAGCGTACGGCCGGCATCAGAGAGGTCTGCGTACTTCCCCGAGGCGGGCACACTTGGAAGGTGGTCCATGAACGTAAGGACGGTCCCGACCGGCAAATTGAATGCAATCCAACTAGCTTTGTCGAACAGCCTTTGGTCTACTCGATGGCGGCTCTTCTGGGAGTAACCATCGTGGATGTTGATTTCGGTATTGTTGCTATTCCAGTTGAAATCTTGATACAGGCGAACGCGGCCACTTGCAAGATCGGGAGCTCGCTGCGAAGGAGATGGGAGCCTGGTCAGTTTGTTCACCTTATCTTGTATGGACTGCATTCTAGAGACTAGTCGTGGAATATGGTAAAGAGATTGACTGGTGAATACGTGAAGATGCAACTGAGAGAGATGGCTGTGATCGAAGAGATGTGATGCTGAGATCTTGTCTTATTGTTAGTAGGATGAGTTCAGAAGCTGGACTCAATGTAGGTCACTCTTATACATGTTTCGTGCATTCTTGCCGCATACATGTATCCCAGCCAAGCAATTGGAGTCGAGACTGTACGATGTATCTCGATAGTGGCGCTCATCTTCAGCCACGCCATGAACAGCCATTCCATGCTGCGCCAGAGAGTTTATCTTTTTAGTATCTTGTTGTGTAAGTTCCTTGTCAATTACTACAAAGACCTAAGGGTGGCTTTACCCAAGGCAGCTGAGGAAAGGTCACTCTTGTCTAGTGTATGCTTGGCAGATGCTTCACGGTTAGCTGAAGAATGTAACTATATACAGAGTCATCAAGCTTCACATATAGCGTTGTGCGGCTGATGGTAGTCTTTTGACAAGGTTGAAATCATGTGTGATGCGGCGGAGTTGTGTCCGCGAGGCTTATCGCATGCGGGGTCGCCGTCCTGAACGCACGATTGGATTGGCATCCTGTCGAGGAATTGAAGGTACAGGTCCACTGACTTACTGTTGCTGAATGACTGTATGGATGCACCATCGCAATGTCACCTTACGTGCACTTGTGTGGTAGTGTGTGAAGAAGACGATATCCCTCAGCCCTGTTTCTGGACCACTTCTTAGCGGTATACTAGACGCGCACTAAAAGGATAGAATTGGCAGTTAGCTAACCTTTCCTGAACCTGACGGATACTCCTAGTTGAATTGAGATGTTACATTCGACTGGCCTCGACCTACTCTCACAACATATCCTGGGACCCTGAAGCTATACTCACGCCTCTCAACTCCTTAACACTTTCGTTCTTTTGCGGAATTATCTCCAATGATCTTAGCGCTTCTCACCGATAGTGAGCTGAGAGTCAGGTATGTACTGAGAATCCTGAGCAACATCGTCGCCTGGCAGCTCAGCGGGTGGTATTTCCACGCTAGGCTTGGCACCGATTTCCTGAGGTGCTATGTTCTTGGAATCCATCTCTTGCTTTCGATCTTCATGTGGCAATTCAGTAATTGCACTTCCACCAACCTCTCGTCGCTCGTCGGAGGGTATCTCTGGCACTTGATCCCGTTTCTTCTTACGCCGTAGAAGTAAAAAGATAGCGACAGCGATGAGAGCAAGTCCACACACGCCACCAACTACACCACCAGCTATAGCACCAGTGTTGTTCTTCTTGGGTCCGCTCACTGCACTAGAAGATGGGGTCGAAGATGGGGAGGACGATGATGTTGCAATCAGCGACGACGACGATATTTGATCAGGTGGTGTACAAGCATCGACGCTGTAATAGACGAAAGACGAGTTATAGCACTCGGCTATCTGATCGAACTGGAGGACTGTCGAAGAGCATGGTACGAATTCTTCGCTATCGGCTCCGTAGATGGTAGCTAGTGTTTTCAGTAAGTGCAACTTTTCTATAAAAGTACAACGCAACGACTTACCACTGCAGCCTGGATCAAGACCTACGACCTGAAAGCTCTCGTATTTTCCCTGGTCGGCCAATCGAGTGCAAGTACCATTAGGATACTAGTTGTTGGAGGGCGAAGTCAGTCTGTGTCTCACATGCAGTTCGTATAGGTACACTTACGCCATTTTCTGCATTGATACTTTGGAACGCATTCTTGCACTGCCCGTCCGTAAACGTCGCGATTCTCGAGCTGGAAGCGACTTGAATAGGAACTATAATTGAGGCGAGGCTGAAAGCCATCCAAGAACTGATGCTAGAATACGGCATGATCTTGTGAAGTCTGAGGGCTTGCTGAATGTGAGTGCCGCTGATAGACGCGAGTCGAAAGGCGTTGCAGTAGGCGACTCAAGAGGTGGGCCGGGGCTTATTGCTCGTAAATGCGGCTCCACTGTCTAGTTAGGAAACTTGCTGCATCTTCACAAGGCTGTGATGCAACAAGAAACGATCGCTGCAAAACAACAGGCCAGCCTGATCGGCCCCATCACCAATAGCCTATCGTAGGCCGTACACATACACATACGTAGGTGGTGCGTGAATACAGAAGCTGAAGTCGAGCCATTCCGAGCAATCTTGCGATGCAGGAACCGCTTTCGGTGTTTTGTGATACCAGAATGATGCGTCATCAGCGCCACAAGATGTCTACGCGTGCGTCGATTGGCTGCAGCGGCGGTCGACCCCGAGACGGGACGCTCCCGCCTCTTAGTATGTCTAGTCTTGCTCCACGGAAAAGGTTCGCATTAATTAATCGCACACCATCTGTTCAGCTTCGTCAGCTTCATGCATCATGAAGGCAAGCATATCGTGACAAAGCAAGCACTTTACATAAAAATCTGTGAAATACGAAGAAAAGAGCCCCCTCGAGCTACGACGACCCACCAAAGCGTAGGCTACGCGTGGTGATCTTCTAATTGTAGATGATGCGGCCCCAGTCTATTCAGCGCCTCGTCCAGAAACGGGTTTGTGATCGTGAGAACTAGACGTGGACTAAACTGGAGTTCCGTAGCCTCTTCACGAAAGCCTTACCGCCTTGCTAGACACAGAGTATAAAAGATGACTGACCAGCTTGAGAAAGACTCCAGATCATAACAAAGCTCACAAAGATCACAAAGATCATTGTCTTTTTCCCAATCATCAAACATGCGCGCCTCAGTACTTGTCGCATTGTCTTCCTTCAGCCTTGCGGCTTTGGGCTGCTCCAAAGTCTCCAAGGTCACCCACACCTTTTACGGATACCCAGGTAGGTTGACTGTATGAAATGCATATGAGACATAAACTGACTCTGTATCTTCAATCCTGCAGATAACGATCCTCCCGGTCCGGCCACCGCCTACGACTGCGGCCGCGGCTACAAGGCTGGCGGTACAGGTACCTATGCCGACCCCTTGACATTTGCCTCGGCCCCTGGCGAATTCACACAATGTGAAATCATCTACGACCCATACACGAAGAAGTATCTTCGTTTCGAGGACTACTGCGCTCAATGCACTACCGACTGGGACGCTGGCATCCACCACATTGACCTGTGGACTGGTAGCACAACTGTCAGCGGAGGTAACGAGCAGATTGAATGCGAGAATGACCTCACGCCGGGTGAGAAGAGCCAGACTATTGTGAGGCAGCCACGAAAGGATCTTCCGGTAGATTGTAAGTAACAAGGCTGAAAATCACATGAAGACAATCTGACATACAATCAGCGACTAAGCTTTACGTCAAGGGTGGCAGTCCGGCGTGCAGAACTAGCCACATATACCCCACTTACAACATTGCCGATTACTGCTAGATACGTAGTAATCGATGCAACATTGGTGATGGCAGATAAACATTGCGGGAGTCCGGTCGATCTTAGATATTGTACAGTCTTTTCCGTAGAACAGTGTTCTTAGAAGCAATACCAAGCTTGCCTGTAAAGCAGTATGATTCTCTTGGCCATAAGGCTTAGCGAATGAGCCTGTCATCTTCGTATCAATTCTCCCTATCGTGTGTGACAGGGGCGTGCAGGACAGGGGCGTGCAGTGTTGAGTTCCTTGGGTTTACCGAGGCATTTCGACGTGTAGCTACTGGCCTCCACTTGTTTCGCCTTGCTAGGTTTGATGTAGCTTGTCCATAGTAGGGTACGCGGACTCGAGGTTCTAAACATTAGCCAACAGAGGATGCCAGGCTGACCCTACTCTCCTGAACATACCACGATGCGCCCTTCTTCGAGTGACCTGCTGTTTGGTCGAGAACTGTAGACCGCTTTATGCTCAGCCTCGCCCAGAGTCCAGTCGGAGGGTATTACTCCGAAGCTGACGCGCTACTCAGCCAGCACAATCTGCGTCGCAATATGTGCCTACTCTGTTCGCTGTCCATAAATAAAGGCTTGTGTTCTCCGTTCTAGGGTATTATGGATGTTTAGTCCATAGTGTTGGTGGTGGAGGGGTGGTTGTGCGCCGAGGTGAACCGCATCCTCTCCGCGATGACGTCAAACATCGTCAACCTCTGTGCACGTCCCTTCCACGGGACTGACAGGAAGTATGGGCATGGGACGTCCAGTGCCTTTGGCTCTGAATACAGCTAGGAATGGAAAGTACAGGTCTCGCTTCGCCAGCGAGCGCAAACGTATGCGCAGACTCGACAGATGGAGGACTGTCACAGCGCTGGGTGCCGTCCATCTATCGCCCCGGAGCAGGTCCGCCCATCGATCTTTTGGCTTCTAGTCGATCACACCTCAGTGTGGTCAGAGAAGCTCTGCAGTCGCTCGACAGCTACAATGAGCGCATTGCACGCCAACCCTACGACTTCAATGCCTGGTCACGCCGAGGAAACTGCATGATGATCCTTGGGTTTCCCGAACTTGCTGTCGCTGACGCGTATAAAGCCAAGGTTCTTGAGAAAAGAGCTCCTGGAAACGACCAAGAAAGGGCGCACATTTACAATTTGCTTGAAGCTGCTTTGCAAGCTTGTCATTGCCAATGGGATGCAGCAGAAATTCTAGACGAATCAGCAATCGATGCAGATCCGCGGCGGCAGGAAGAAACCCGAAAGAGACTTGCTAAATTACGTGAGCTCTTAAAGCGGAAAGAAGAGGCTGCTATACCATTGGGTGGTACATCTTTCGAGCTCAGAGATAGGATAAGAGATGGTGGAGTACTCGCTGTAGAGTATCCATGGACCATTGAACGCCATCTCAGAAGGGCTCCAGAACTCGTGAAGCTCGTTAATCAGGAGCTTCGAGGGGGCGAAACAGAGGCAACGTGCTATCTGGGCCAAAGTAGCTTGGCCAAGGACTCGAATGAAGACATGCTAGGCATGTTCGCAGCTCGCGAGGTACAAGCTGGCGAATGTATACTTACAGATCGAACCGCTACCGGTATATGTAGTACACCATCCTCGGACTCCTGCTGTAATTGCTACGCGCGCTTACCGGAAAATCCAACACAGGCAGAATGCTGCGCTGAAAGCTACTGCTCAGCAGCATGCCTCAATCTCGCAATGAACACCTATCACAAAGTCATCTGCGGTAAAGACTTTACGTGGCTCCAGAAACCCGCCAAGGGCTTGACGCACAACGCTTCGCCTCTACGATCCCTTCTCATGTTGCGGCTACTGGCGACATGCGTCCAATCTGGTATTGATCATTCACCGCTAGATCACCCGCTGATTGCGCGTCTGAAGCCTCTTGCCAACAAAGAGCATCTTGATGTGTTCACTCTCAATGAGTCAGTCATTGTTCCGATCAAGATCCTAGAACAACTTGGCGTCGATATCTTCACAAATCGTAACTTCGATACGGACATCTTACACTCGATCTGGACTCGTCTAGCGAACAATAAAGCTGGGTCTCCCGACCCGCGACTTGGCTTCGTCGACGAAATCACGCCGCATCTACCACTATTCAACCACAGCTGCGAACCGAATGTAGAGTGGAGAAGGGAGAACGGAAGTACAACTGTGAGCTTCTTTGCCATCAAGCCTATTGCAAAGGGTGAGGAGTTATTCTGTAGCTACCTGAATGTTCAACGCATTCCGATGGAGCAAAGGCAGGAGATGTTGTGGCCGTGGTTTGAGGGCTCGTGTTTATGCTCGAGATGTGAAAAGGAGGGAAATAGTTTACGCATCTAGTTTGTGGTATCATTAACTTCTCTGGAGGCATTCATAACGTCGTAGGCAAGTTAAGTTCCAAAAGGGAAGATAATCTGTCCATCTACTACAAACCTCAGTATATCTTCTGTTGGGAGACATGCTTCTTCTCAGGTGTCAACACAGCATGACATCTGCCACTCCTTGGTGCTTGTGTCCCTTCTGTCAGCACCAAACGAAATTCTTCGCATCCCCGCGCTTCAAGGCTTCGATGCTAGGTGGCACGGTTGGTTGCCTTATCGGGTGCACCCTGTCATCTCCCTCCTTCTTTGCAGCGCTCAATCCTTTATCCTTCAACACACTCTTACTGTACTTGGTATCCGAAACCTTCTGCTTGACCTCCTCCGGCTTCGGCTTCACATCTCTAGCCTTTGGCAGCTTCACCACAGGTATATCAGATTCACGCTCGTCCATTTGTTGAACATCACGCAGCGTCCTGATAAGCTTGTCCCTGTTGCCCGTCTCGGTGTGGTATGTGTAGGCAAATGCAAAGTCTTCCTCCTTGAAGAGTGATACTGCATTACCAGGCGAGAGTGCTACAGTAGCCTTTTGCGTCAGCGCTGCGAGTGCCCTATCTTCGATGACGGTGTCCTGGAACGTATTGGCCGTGGCAGCTAGCTTGATGATGTCTATCCAGGACAACTCAATGGCCATTGCATCAGCGGATATAGACTGGGAATTGAGGTACAATTTTACCATCGATAGGTCGATGAAGGAGAGATGTATGGTGCGGCGTAATGGCGCGTGCATTTTGAGTTTATTCAAAAGTTTAGAAAACTTAGGTATGTCGACGAGGAGGATCTGATGGCGCGTCTCTTGACGAGGACCGAGGAGAAGTGTGACGCGGTCGTAGTAAGAGACACCAGCTTCGTGTGGGTTGACAATCTCCCAGTCTTCGTCGTCAATTTGGCTGGGGATGACATTGCCGCTTGTATGTGGCGGAGAGTTTGTGCGGATAGGTGCTGTGCTCGTGAAACCTTGGAGCATGTTAGTAAAGAAAGACATGGTTGAGCTGTGATGTCTTCAAAACTTGGTCGAGGATTGGTATTCAAGGTGCGGTTGAAGTGTTAATGAGGACGGTCAGTGAAGCTGATGTATGGAAGAGGAACGTGAAGGTGGTGTGCAATTGGTGAAAGTGTAAAGTGTATACGGGAGGTAGCGCCTCACAGGGCGTGAGGTACAGCGCGATGGAGCGCGCTAGGGTGTCACTGTGAGTTGTCGTGAAACTAAGAATTGCAACGTCTACGAGCCGTACTTTAAACTAGACCCTATTACAGTGTGTGACATAGTCAGCAGGGTCGAAAACATTGTGACTAGGTGGATGCACAAGCAGTGGCCCTATCAGAACCAGAGTTCCGTTGTTCTGGAGTCTAGAGAGCGTGGTCTGCGTCATAGTTTCAAACACAAAGAAGGATTCCGTTTGGAGACAGCAGTTCTTTAGGCATTGGCACTATGAGCCTGGTCTTGCCAACGACCTCTGAATTTGTATATACACGTACAAAGCGGTATGCCACTCTATTTCGTCTCGTGCTCGGGGGTGATTGCGAATGTAGGTCGAACGAATCTGTCATCAGATGATTAGCCAATGTACTGTGAGAAGCCATGTCTTCAAGCACGTACCTGTCGCTGTTGTAGACCTTGGTCTCTGTGCCAAGTAGCTCCTTCTCCCTCGCCTTGTCCGCCAAATGTCTTCGTACTTGGTCCCGGTCTTCTTCGGCCTGCAGTGCTGGGATGAGGTGTATCCGCGCCCACATCTTCTCGCGCGCGAGTTCGCTGTGATCTGTCAGCACTCCCCCTCATATTACAGGACGTCGCCGTGTCCAGTTTCGAGCATGCGCGTACTTGTGCTCCCTGATTCCCTGTCCAACCCTCCAGAATCCGTATGTCATGAGCGCCGCGGTTCCGAAAAGGTATGCGGCGGGGCGGAAGCCTCGTACGGGCAAGTTGCGCTTGTATTGTACGGGGCTGTAGCCGCCCGTTGGCGGCATATCCTGCGGCATGTTGGGCGATTTGTTCGTGGCTCAATTGGGGTTCCAAGGTGTCGTCAATGCGGAGACGTGAAGTGAGGTTCGAGCTCGGGAAGCCGCGATGACAGGGATCTGGCTTGGCACGCTAAGGAGTGAGTGAGCATAATTTTGTCGATGCTGAGTGGACAAAAGGCATCACGACCTAATTTCTCTAATCGATGGACGACCACGAAATAATGGATTCTGAAGAGCGTCCTGCGAAGATGCGCAAGCTGGAACATGCGGATGGTGATGTGGACGTGGCGGACGCAGCTGCCATACCAACACCAAACGAACAACTACCCGTGGCTGCGGAGAATAGCAATCAAGCTGGTTCTACTGAGACTACCGGGACACCAGCTGAAGGTGAAGGCGCAGAGCCAAAGTTGTCAAAGAACCAGCTCAAAAAGCAAAGACGGCTCGAGCGTTGGGAATCTGGACGCGAAGATCGCAAATTGAAGCGAAAAGAAAAAGTCAAAGAGAAGAAGGAGCGACGACGGGAAGAGTGGGCGAAGATGCCTACAGATGAGAATGGCAAGAGACCGAGACCACCACCTTCACGTCCTCCCAGACAAGCAACTGGAAAACAAGTACCCATCACAGTAATCTTCGACTGCGATTTCGAGGAGCTGATGTTCGACAATGAGCTCAAGAGCTTAGGACTTCAAATCACGAGGTGTTACAGCGATAACCGAAAGGCAAACTTCAGAGCTCACCTAGCACTGAGCAGCTTTGGAGGCAAAATGAAGGAGCGGTTCGATGGAATCTTAGCGAAACAGTACACGAGTTGGAAAGGCTTCCAGTTCTTCGAGGAAGATTTTGTGGAAGTCTCTGAGAAGGCCAAGCAGTGGATGTCAGGACCAGAGGGTGGAAAAGTTCTTGGTGCGTTGAAGACGTCAGCAGAATCCAACAGTTCGAGTGAGCAGGAACAAGCAGAGGCTGCAGAGGAGGAAGGCGAAGTTGTCTATCTTTCATCCGAGTCCGACAATGTTCTTACGCACCTGAAGCCCAACAGCACCTACATAATTGGTGGTTTAGTAGACAAAAACCGGCACAAGGGCATCTGTCACAAGCGCGCTGTGGAGCGTGGGATCAAGACAGCAAAATTACCCATTGGCGAATACCTGGAGATGAAGAGTCGGCAAGTCCTAGTCACGAACCATGTGCTAGAGATTATGCTCAAGTGGATGGAATTTGGAGACTGGGGCAAGGCTTTCATGGCAGTTATGCCAGAAAGAAAGGGTGCTAAGCTCAAGGGTGATGCAGAAGATGGAGATGATGAGGCGGCGGCTGTAGAAGATGAAAAGAATTTGGATAGGGATCTTGCGGCGGCAACAGAAGAAGCGGATGCTGCGACTCCCGAGCCGACCACAGAGAATGTCCAGAGTACATAGACAACTCACAAGCTGTACTCGTGACAGAGAATGGCAGAGTGTAAAGACTAGTAAAGAACAACTAGAGATGCATAGCTTCTTAAATCAATGCACACCACGAGATGCAGAACGTGATGCCTGCACATAACAATGGGTTAAGTATGACAATGCCCGCGATCGCACCAAGCATGCCTATTCATCTCCTCGAACTCGACAGAGCCCAGTAAGCTGACTATAGGAATCCTCTGAAATGCACAATGGATACGCGAGGTCAGCCCTATCGGGTAGCGGAGATCAAGCTTTCTAGGGAGGCGCTAGCATGCTAGCGGTCAGGGCTGCGGAGCTACACATCGAGGAGCCAGAGGGGTGAAGCAATCACTAAGCATACATCGTCGTCCTGCCTTCTATTGGCGGCTATTCATTATAGCGACTGAAAATGTATCCGTCGCATTCACAAGCTTGCTTATGTAACAGCCATGTCTCCTGCTGCTGGCGCTGTGAGGCTCCAAGCAGCTGTCAGCCCACTAAATTTGCGCAACGTCACAGCTACTCTGACTTGCGACAGCCCCAGCACACCACCTCCAACACGCGACCCACATTAATTCAGGAACATCGCTACGATTGTAATTAGTTGCCGCTCATGTCGTACCCATCAGATACCCCGTCTTCTCCACCAGTCCGCTCTCCGTCGTCACAAACCTCACCGCCGCCCCAGCGCTCTACCCCCAATCGCTCGTCTTCCTACTTCACATATCCCGTATCCTATGCAGTCTCGGGCATCCTGCGACGACTGAACACGGAAACGAGTCCTAAATCAGACGCGCAATCACGATCGGGGTCCAACAGTAATCGCAACAGCATAGGCAACGTGCAATCGCAGTTGCAGTCCACCGCATCTTCCCTCTCCAACACGTTTGCGAGTCTCGTCTCCTCCACTACCTCAGATATGAACGCCGTCTTCCAACCACCACACCGGATAGCCAGTCCTTTCCAACCACCGCCATTGACACCGCTGAGCCTGAAAGGATGGGGAGGTGGCATGCGAGAAAAGGGCAAGCTCCTGAGCACGGCGCTGGCAGAAGAGATCAGGCTCCTGCTACCTCCAAGGTTACAGCTGGTGGACGAGTGGAAGTTGGCATACAGTCTGGAACAGAATGGCGTCAGCTTAGGGACGCTATACAAGCAGTCTGAGGATTATTGGGGAAAGAGAGGCGGCTTCGTGCTTGTGGTCAAGGACGGCAGTGGAGGTGTAAGTTCCCAAATGTCATCACAAATACAGAACGCGTGCTCACGTCTGGCGACAGATCTTCGGCGCATACCTCTCAGACGCCCCACGTCCCTCTACGTCATTCTACGGCAACGGTGAATGCTTCCTGTGGCGCGCGCACATACTCCATGGTTTCTCTGACCTGCAGATGAACCTCCCACCCCCACCGTCTGAAGACACAACAGACGCTGTGCGAATGACTACCATATCCTCGCCGAAGAGAAAGGGCGATTCGTTAGCGCCGCCACAGAATGGTCGGGCCACTAAGAGCGGTGCGAGCACGCCAGAAAGGATAAGATTCAAGGCATTCCCATATAGTGGGGTGAATGACTACATGATCTTCTGCGAACACAGCTATCTGAGTGTTGGTGGCGGGTAAGTAGACGTGACCAATACTCCAGGATTCACACGACTAACAGCATCACAGGGACGGTCATTACGGTCTATGGCTAGACGACAACCTCGAGAATGGCGTCTCGGACACCTGCCCTACGTTTGGCAACGAGCCATTGAGCGACGATGGCAAGAAATTCGAGGTCATGGGTGTTGAGTTGTGGTATGTCGGCGTATAAGAAATATTTCCTGGCAACACCCTCTGCGAACGCGGGGTTCGTTGTGTTGAGCACTGGCCACGCAGTGATATCGCCTAAAGGTAAAGTGTTAGGCTACGTAACTTAGAACAGATACCATACCTGAAGTCGAAAACTGGCTAAGGTAAAGAGCAAAATATACCCATTTGGTTGTTTCGTACACGCTCTTATCCCTCATCTGGCACTTCCTAAGACCATGTCTTTCTGGGTCTCACCTTGTCTCACTATCCACCGCCTCTAGATCACAAACATCTGGCCTAAGTCTCACCTTCCAGTGTCTTATCTACTTCTCCTAGGGCTATATCTTCTACTCCCTTCAATCCATAGCACTCTCAATACCCAACATCATCATCTGTCAGCATGGCGACCACTGAATCTCAAGGAGCGACTAAGAAGCTGGGACCAGTAAAGTATGCCGCTCAACCCTTCACACAGGCAAGTGTAATATGTTAACGTAGTGCAGCATAGGCAACAGGATCGTCCGCTTCAAGATACCTAACCTGGACCGCCGTTTCACCGTGCATGAAGGTATCAACTACCCACATCTGTTTTGGCAGACGTCTGTACTGACACTGTGCGTACTTTCTAGATCTCATATGTAGCACCTCTCGATTCTTCAAAGACTGCCTCCAGAAACATCGGAAGCCCATCGCCAGCATTGATGAGTGTTGTGTCTGCCACGAGACCTTGGACGCTACGGTAAAAGATATATCTTTCTGCATCGAGTGCGGACAAAACGTCCACGAAGTCTGCATCGAAACTTGGAAACGCAAATCCACTACCGGCGTTAACAAAGATTCTGCACCGACATGCCCGATGTGTCGAGCTAGCTGGAAGAACGATCCGCTGCTCAATCATTTAGACCTGAAGTCTGACCTGGATCCTGAGGCTGTTCAGACTTATCTAGACTGGATTTACACCTCCACTCTGAGCATACCTTCTCAGATTGCCTATAGCAATGGTACTTTCAGTCTAGTGATGCTCAAACTCTGGACTATGGCCAACGCTGTTGAAGACCCGTCCTTCAAAGCCAAAGTCATCATCATTTACTTTGCAGAAGCTCCTTTCAGCTGGACGGCTTTGGATGACGTTATGGAGTACGTTTTGGAGTGGGCTTTTGTAGAGCGAAAGTGTGACGATGAGATCCGAGAATTCATTATCGACTTAAGGCGTGAGTGGGTCAAGCCCAGTTTCTTCAAGAAAGCCAGGAGGGAGGATCTCGAAACATTGAAGAAGGGGTGGATGAAAAGGCTCAACATAGAGATGGACCCCGTGAGCGACGACAAAGTCACGTCATTTTCAGTAGGAGTGCAGGGAGTGGTTATTGCAGGAACTAGCTTGTTTTTCCCTTCCTATATGTGATTCTTTTTGTCAACAGTCTCTACCTATTCTACCGTGTTCAATGATCTCTACCGGCATCTAGTCGACTCAACTGTCAAGCAATGAAACTCATTTGTCACGTCTTCTACCCTTCACCTGAACGACCACATGCGTGTACGAGTTATATTCCCTGGCTAATCACTGACGATTGAAGAAGGAAGAGCCATCTCATGTTGTTGTTGGTACCTTCCATACGCACTAGCGTACTAGCTATATAGTCAGAATCCTTTATAGCATCAATCGATCACTTCTGTACTCTAACAACGATATCTTTGCCTGCAACGAGAACATTCTTATGTTTGCTGTGTTCCTTATTCGTGAACCTTTGTGCGTCGAAGAACTGCGGCGCCACTGAAGGATAAATGACTACCCATCCTCTAGCTACTTGACTCTTCACTTCATATTGCCCACTCAACAGTTGAGTTTACATTCGCTAAAGACCTAATCCACGCAATTCCAGCAACGAATAAAGGACCCCTGGAGAAGATGGCCTATGCCGAGAAGCGTGTCAGTGTTCGAAAGAAGATTGCTATCAAGTAGGTCCTCTGGAATTAACAGCATACCAATCGCTAAACGCTTCTCAGATATGGTCGCAAAATTGTGCGCATCGAGGTTGCAGATCACGAAGAGTTCACCATTCCTGAAGACCTCCTTTGCAAAAGATCTAAATTCTTCCAAAAGAACCTTCAGCCGAAGCGCAAACCTTTCGGTGTGGACACAGAATGTCCCATCTGCAAGGCAAAGCTTGAATCCGGTATCAACGAGCTCACCTTCTGCGCTAATGGTTGCGGTCATAATTTTCACTACAAATGTACGAAGCAGTGGAACACGGAGAAGCGTGAAACCAACCAACCAGTCAACTGCCCGTTCTGTCGCCAAGGCTGGCCCGGCGATAGCAAGGAAATCGCAGTACATCAACACCATGATATCAGCCCTGGACCATTCTCGATGCTTATCGAATGGTTGTATCATGGTCATATTGCTGTCAAAGACCTTTCCGACAACTCTGATGACGAAGGGATAGATGAGACACCCGAACCCGACTTACACGAGTTGATCGAAGCATATGTGCTATGTCTCAAGCTCAAAAGCAGAATGTTTTGTCGAGGTGTCCTAGAGGCGTTGCTAGAGATTACTGAGGAAACTCGTATCTATCCCGACCAATCCGACGTCCGTCTTGTCTACGATAACACGACTAAAGGGGCAATCATAAGGCTCGTGTTGGTACGAATGTACGCTCAAGCAGCACAAGGTCACTGGTTGAAGGATGGGGAGAGCATTGGATATTCTAGAAGGTTCCTTCGGGACTTGACAATAGCTCTGCTCGAGAAGAGTCCTTGGGAAAGACGCTGGGACCTTGCTGAAATGAAAGACAAATATGTCATAGGGAAGATGATTGGGTATGGAAGAAAGGACGGCGACGAACCGGAAGAGATGAACAATTTATCAGAGGAACTGAGTTCAGAATCGGAATCAGGTGAAGACGAAGAAATGCGGAGTTAATATTTCCCTATAGTAATAGGCTAACAGAGAAGGGAATGTTCAATACACTTCTTGATATGCGATACCCAATGCTACATAATACAACTGCGAAGTAAGAGTTTTCAGCACAGCATCAGACCGACGTTTATCCTCGAGAACTTTGTATTACACAGTACCCTTCCAACTCCGAAGTCGAGATGTGGCAAAACATCCAATAGCTACAACAAGATAGCCAATTTCAAAGATCACCTAAAACACGGCCGAGTAGATGAATGTCTTGTCGTCCCAGAACTTGCGCGACAAGATGTGGTGCGCAGCCTGCAAAGCCAAAAGATCCCTCATAAACAGATCCTCATCTGTAGTCTTGCCATTGATATCTCCAGGACCAATGTCAACTGTCCTTCCCGCCCAAACGTCTTCCCAGCTTGGACGAAAATAATCGTTGTACGTAGCGTCTGTGATTGTCCAGGCGCCATCTGAGGCGATGGAGTAGCGTATAAGATTTTGAAATTCAAGTGCTGGTAAGGCTGAGGTCTTGTGTTTGGAATACTGGCCAACCTAAGCGCTTTATGTTAGTGATACGTATATTTACACGCCTCTTGATTCGACGTGGCTTACTAGTACCTTGTCACCTCTTCTCATGATGACGAGACAGTCATCACTATTATTGCTCTTGGGTATGTATCCCACATGAAATGCTTTTGTATTAGCGAGGAACATATCGAGGGCCATGGATGACGTTTGATGGAGTAATGTGACGACAGCGTCTTGTAGCATAATATTCTTGGGAATTTTCTTGATGGCCAAGTTGATCATATGAGCATGATTGCGTGGGGCAGTCGGAGGGAGCGCAGCGACACTGTCAGTAAATTGGATTGGGTAAGTCCTGTCCATCGTACTTGAATTGACTGTTAAAAGCCTGTTCAAGGACTGGACGTACCTATATGCATGAGACGCTTCATTTGCTTGCTATTAGGCGAATGATATCGCCACTGTGCTTGCTACAGCACGTGAGAGTTCACAGGGTTTCTAGGGATGACTTACCATCATCGTACAGGCGGCACCTCAAATCAGCTGTCGCTCATCATCTTGCGCAGCATCAGAACCTCGTCAACTAGATGCCAAACCTTGGCACAGTCCCACTCACTCCTGTCATCAGTCCAAAAACATGCTTAATATCCACAGATGCCATATAGAACACACATCGATAACAGGGCCATGACGCTACAGCTGTTGTTCGCTTCTCATCTTTCATTCGAGTGGGAGGATGCTATACCGAATTCATTGGCGTACGCGAAGACTGGGAAACAGAGGGCTGTCAAGATGGCTGTTGGCTATGAGGTCGGATGTTCCAAAGAACTTTGGAAGCCACTATGAGCTTCAAGGTTACTAGTGAGGACGATGAGAGCGTGTCGGCGGTGAAGACTTATTCAACGTTATCTGTATCAGTTCGAAGACCGTATTGATACTCCATTAGCAGCAGTTGCCTAGCGTTATCAAAAGGACCTCGCAGGCTGTTGTGTTCTGTAGCTTTCTCTCGCCTGTGGTAGCAGCAGGTATGGGCTAATCTTGGGCCAACTCTCATTAGTTGAAACGGCGATGGATCTACGATTTCCAGGCTCGTGAGTAGCCAATGATATAACCGAGTGGTAGGGCGACAGCGCCTACTCTATGCAAGGCTGACTGTATCGTTATAGCAGTGCACCAATGAACGTGCGTGCAAGCAGCCCCCAAAGACCAAACTCCAGCTGTGTAGGGTAGACGTGTAACGTACGGCCTCCAACTGTATGTATATACATCTAGGTGCAAACACCCCAACATGATAGCGCCGTCATTCACAGAGGCCTCCGGCGCCCGAAAACCTTCGCATCACACTTCGCGACTTCCATTGCAGCTAGATATATCAGCATGATTCCGGTAACGCATCATAACGCCAGCCAATCTGGCGTAATCGTGATGTATCCTGAGCACAAAGGGCAAGCAGTATACATTCTCTCAGTAGTCTCAGCCTGCACCACGTTTCTAGTCCTCCTCCTACGCTTCTGGTCGCGCTCCCTCCACGCCAGCGGATTCCGGAGCGACGACTGGACGGCAGCAGCAGCATGGGTATTCTCCCAACCTCTCCTTCACTTCTCCCTCATGCGCTAAGTCACCCAGCCATTCGTCCTAGCAATCTCCGTCCAAACAGGCCTCCTCCTCCACCACGGTTTCGGCCTGCACATAACCTCCGTGCCTCCGGCCAATATGACCTTCAGCTTGCAAGTCCTGTATGCCGGATACTTAACCTACACTGCCGCCATGGCATTGATCCGCATCAGTGTCGGACTCTTCTACCACCGCCTCTTTAGCGTCGCATGCCCGAATTTCAGGTACCAAGTCCATGCCAACACGTTACTCAATGTCATCTGGCTTGTGGGCCTCAATCTAGCGGCCGCATTCGAATGTACACCCGTCTCAGCTTTTTGGGATAAGGGAATAGAAGGAGCGAAGTGCATGCCAACACTCAACATTCAACTGGGATCCGTGGTGCCCAGTGTAGTGCTGGATTTAATCGCGTTAATTATGCCGCTGCCGATAATCTGGAAACTACAATTGAGTATGCAGAGAAAAGTAATGCTGCTAGGCACTTTTGTGCTAGGGTATAGTGTCATTTTTCTGAGCGTGGGGAGGCTGATTACCGTTGCGAAGATTGAGCGGGGGTTGGAGAGTGATTTGACGTGTAAGTACTGTCTTTGGCTTGAAAAGAAGAGAGAAAGACTAATGAATGCGATAGGGTACTTTGTTGATGTCCTCATCTGGCTTCATGTTGAGATGAGCGTTGCGTCGATTTGTATAAGCCTGCCGAGTTGCTTCTCGATGGTTAGACGGGCGAGAGAGGGCGGTGTTGGTGCGTTGATCTCGTCAAGGCCGCTACCACAGAAGTACCAGAAGCAGGATGCAGATTTGGCTGGAGGAATGGCGCCAGCAGCTGATCGCGATGCAGTATAGCAGAAATCTTCTGAGTATAATTCAAGCTAGTTGTTAATTGTCTTGGTGGGAGGAAATATGTCCACTCTATCGCTTCCTTCTGCCACAGCTCGCGGATAACCACAACTTTCGCATTAGATGTCTGTGTCATGCACGAAGAGTGATCATGTGAGTCTCGACGCGTGGGACGAGGAGCGCGACTTTAGCGTCTTGGCGCGTCACGCACCTGGTGCGCACTCGAGGCGTGCTCTTCACAACTCGGCATCAAAGATGGACAACACTCTCAAATGGGGACATCAGCGGTTCGTGCGTATGCGCAACCTCAAAAACCCTAATCAATTTTATCTACAGTGAAATCTAATAAACAGCAAGCGGACGTCTATTCGGCCCAGACAACAGCGCTGAGGCCGTCCTCGTTCTCCGGAATGCCTGCAGCGCCAATCCGAAGATCCGCAACGCGCTCTCCCAATTTACCAGTCTTTGGATCTCTGGGTACGATAGCTACGTTCGAAGTGGTCTGATCGCCAATGGCTACGAAATCACCAGCCTTGTTGATGTCAAAAGTACGTGGGTACGTGCCATAAGAAGACGTGTTGGCTGTCCATGTGAGGGATCCGTTGGGAGAGATGGTGTATTGGGTAAGCGAGTCGTTGCCGTTGAACTTCTTGTCATTTCGGTTTGTGATGTAGACGAAGTTACCCTTGACCTTGACCTCACCGACCTTGGTACCGCGAACGGCGGTGGCGTTGCCTTGGTACGGCGTCAGGGTTTGCTTCAGAGTCAGAGACATGCAGTCTCCTGATGAGGGGTATGACACTGCCCATGATGACACGCTGTTGGAAAGCTCATTGGCGATGAAGAGAGTGGTACCTTCAGCTGCTCGACGAACGCGCGAGTTAGCTGCCGATGGTGTCCAGAAGGCACCGTGTCGTGGTCCTGTGCCAGGAGGCGGCTTCGCAGAAGCGCACTCTGTAAGCTTTCCGGAGTTCTGGTCGATCTTGTGGATCCGAATCTGATCAGTTCCAAGGTCAGGTACTACCAAGAAGTCGCCAGATGGGTCCACAAAGGCATGATGCGGGTGGGGAGCTTCTTGTCGAGAAGGGTTCACGCCTTTTCCAGTGTACTTGATTGTTTGAAGCGGCTGTCCTCCGGTCAACGGCAATTTGAAGGTTGTCAATTGCGAAGATTGGCTGTCGATCAGTTAGCACCAATGGTGTCTACCGGAGGATGCTGGCTTACTAGTGAGCGTTTGCGATGAAGCTCCTTCCATCTGCACCGCCATATAGCGCTGTCGCAACAACACCGAGAGGCGTAGAACCCTTCCCTCCTGCGGTTACAGTGCCGTTGTTACCAACGGCGAAAGAGACCAAGTTTCCTCCACTCGCCCCGTAGAAGACCTCGTCCGGAATGTACAGCGCTTTCCCGGCATTGTCGTACGTAATCCAACTAGGCAAGTTGTTTCCTGTGGGGCTCGATTTGCTTAGAGTCAAGGCATTGTTTTCGAACGACAGGTAGTTGATCGTGCCCGAGTAGTGAGTCGCCCACAGGTTCGCCGCACTTGCGGCACTACCGAAAAGCGGTAGAAGGAGAGAATGTGAAGTGAGCATGGCGGGTCTGAGTGACGAGTCAGGATTGTTCTGTTGGTACACCTCAAATACAAGGACGTAGCATCGTTTTGTACGTTCGTCTCGTGCTCTTGGATATTTCCACTATTTTGCCTTAGTGTCACGCGCACGCGATCTACATTTCGGAGGCTACCACGATGAAACACCTGACTACACCCTCTTGGACTAAACAACCGCCCTCGTCATGCGTTTCGCTGAAAGCGCAGGCTGGCATTTCAGCCTCGGTGTGTATGTTTTTCCAAGCCGGTTAAAGGGTACACGTCGGACAATATATCGCAATATGGAGCCATGTTTCGAGCAGGGGTATGACGTTTCACCCGGTTGCCGACCCCAGCTTGATCAACATGGAGAAATTACAGAGGCCTTGCATTTCGGTCTTTCATCTCGCACACACACATGTTAAGATCTCTTGGCCTGCCGTCTACCGGGAACGTAACTGCCACGCCGCTGACATGCGCCGGTACATGAACGCGGCTACGTCGCAGCAGCACACGTGCCTGGATATAGACGAGGAGGCATCTCTTAATCTTTCTGCGACCAATGTTTGCCAAGGGCGAAATAAAACTGAAGCCACGGTTCCTTACATTTGCCGTAGCTCATAGTCCTTTTTGCGATACAGGCAAGATCTGTTATTACAAGCATCGACAGGAACACGGCATCTCCACGATGCCAATGGAGGATCCAACAGAAGTACAAGGTTTTCGCTGGGCAGGTCCAGTCCTTTCATCGCAGTGATAACTCCTGGTCTCATGTTTTTCTTTCTCTTCAGCCGTAGTGTATTGGGTCAATATGTTCTCTCATCATCACCAGAATCCACCTCTAGGATTCAAGCAATGCTTAAGTAGCGCGAGTATGTTGGCGGATGAATTTGTCCTAGGCAGCCAAGCCATCTTTTTATCTTCAAGATGATGACGCACTACTACACATGGCTCTTTGCGGCCGCTACTCTCTTTTCTTGTACTACTGCCGCAAATGCGACATTGAGCGAATGTCTTGAGTCTCGACAGGTTCCTGTATATGCCGCAGGCACCAAGAACTATACTCAAGCCGTGAAGCCTTTCAACCTTCGTTTACCTTTCGTACCGGCCTCCTACGCTGTACCGCAAACCGTCAAGCAAGTCCAGGACGCTGTATCTTGCGGTGTCGCGAGCAGCGTTAAAGTCACTGCAAAATGTGGAGGCCACAGCTACGGAGCACATGGTCTTGGAGGGGAGAATGGTCATTTGATAGTCGATATGCGACGCTTCAACAGCGTAACGGTTGATCAAGCAGCACACACAGCTGTTGTAGGAGCTGGTGGTAGACTGGGAAACATTGCTCTAGCACTGTACGATCAAGGCAAACAAGCCATCAGTCATGGAACATGTCCTGGGTAGGCCCTCATCCCTTGTGACGACAGTAACCTTAACTGACAACTCCCAGTGTCGGCGTAGGAGGACTTACACTTCACGGTGGCTATGGTCTATCATCGCGCCTGCACGGCTTAACCCTCGACCAGCTCGTCTCAGCAACTGTTGTCCTCTCCAACAGCAGTGTAGTAACCGCCTCACCATCATCCAACCCCGACCTCTTCTGGGCCCTCCGAGGCGCCGGCGCCGCCTTCGGCATCGTCACCGATTTCAAATTCAAGACCTTCAACGCCCCTGAGAGCAATCTCGTCTTCTCCTACAGCCTCTCCCCAAGTAACACTTCCCAACTAGCCAACATCCTCACTGTCCTCCAAGATTTCACAATGCACAACCAACCCGCCGAGCTCAACATGCGCATGTTTCTCCCCAATCAGTTGACCGGTGTGTACTACGGCAACCGCACGTCTTTCGACACAATCATGAACCCACTGCTCACCAAGCTCAACATCCCGCTTTCCGGGCGTGGCGCAGGCACGGTATCAACAAAGAAATGGATCGACACCCTAACATCCTTCTCCAACGGCCCATTGCCCCAACCAGAAATCTACGACTACCATGAGAACTTTTACGCCAAGTCACTCATGCCCGAGGAACTATCTCCCGCTGCGATGACGGCGCTGGCAGACTACTATTTCACAACTGCGCGTAACATTCGCAACCGCACTTGGTACTTGCTTATCGACATGCACGGCGGAGAAGGGTCAGCTATCTCCTCTGTACCAGCTGATTCGACATCGTACTCGCATCGCAAAACCGTGTTCAAAATGCAGTTTAACGACCGCATCTGGCCGGATAGCGCGACGTACAAGCCGGAGATGATGGACTTTTTGAATGGCTGGGTTGAGGCGATCGAGAAGGCTAGTAAAGGGGAGAAGTTTGGCATGTACATCAATTACGCTGATACAAATCTCACAAACACCGAGGCACACTCACGGTACTGGGGAGAGCATTATGAGAGGCTGGCGGGGATCAAGGGGGCTTATGATCCGAACAAGGTATTCGAGGGGCCGCAATTGGTGGGAAGTTAGAAGCCAGCTGTTAGATGTTTGATGATGAATGGAAACAAAGTGGATCTGCTTGCTCGAGAAGAAGTCTATAGGGCCTACAAATACACGTTTACACACCTAGCTCTGGCATTTACAAGAACTCGATGCCAACACCGAAGCTCAATCCTTTCCTGCCTTCCTCCTTGGCCCTCATGACTAGTGGGAGAGAAAAGTTGATTTCGAACCTCGCAACGGGGTGTGCGTAGACGAGTCCTAGACCGGCTGCACAGCTGGGAAGTTCGGAAGTGAGGCTAGAGAAGGACTTTTGGATGGCGCCTGTTACATCGCTTGAGCTGCTGAAAGATCCGTCCTCCTTCTTGGAGTTGGGGTTCTTGAGGGCAAGGAGGCGGCCACCGTTGATGAAGGCTTGGAGACGGAGAGGTGTCTCCTTGCCGACGCGTGGGATGGGGAGGAGGAGCGACGCGCCACCAGCAGCGTAGATGTCACCACCGAGCGCATCGGCACCGTCACGAGGGCCGAGGCCAGCAATGCGGAACCCGCGTACGTTGTTGGGACCACCGAGCTGGAAGCGGTCGTTAATGCGCGAAGCCTGGGGTTGGCTTCCTCCACCCAGTGTCATGGGGTACAGAAGACCACCTCGCAGACCAGCGGTAAGCGTGATGCCTGTGTCGCCAAAGGGGAGGGCGACTTGCGACTCTGCCTCTGATTTCCAGAATGCTGTGTCGCCCTTCAATGGGCCCCAACCTGCGAGTTCGGACACAGTCTTGAAGAAGTAGCCGCTGTTCGGGAGAAGAGGGTAGTCGCGCTTGTCATTGATCCAGGTATGCGAGATGCTGGACTTGAAAGTGTCACCAGCGTCTGCGCGGACAGAGGGCGATGCGTTCTCAGCCAGACTGGTCACCTGTCGCCAGATGCCCGAGTAACCGAACTCATGTGTGGCGCCATTCTTCATCCTCCATAGCAGCTTGGAGTTGCCACCCTTGAGAACTTCCTCGTGGCTTGCCCAGCTCTTCAGCGTTGAACTCGCGAAGCCGTTGACCTGGAACTTGAGGTTGGGGTTGCTGAGGATGGGACTGTCGAAGGCAAGCGAATAGGCTGATCGTGTTCGCGTACCGAGCGATCCGTGTGCGTTCAGCGTCTCTGCTCCACCAAGCAGATTCCGAAGTTCGGCGTGGACATAGGCATCGGCCTCAGAGGCTCCAGCTTCGGTTCCAGTCTTGATGGTGTAGTTGCCGCGCTCGACGGCCGAAATGTAGACATCGACATCGGTAGGGGAAGAAGAGGCAATGGTCTGGTTCGGGCGATCGAGATAGACTGATATTGGTGACTTGAAGATACCTAGTCGGCGTTAGCCAAATGCGAGCGAGCCCCTCCTCAGTCGCGTGTCAACGTACCAAAACGATTGAGCTTTTCGGTAGCTTCTCCAACTTCCTTTATCGCATCTTCGAGCGTGTATGGCTCTTCCCGGTTTGCGCTCAGGAGGGGGTTGACTACTCGCTCGAGGAAGCTTCTTCGTGTGCGGTTGGCGTGGAGGATGCGAACCGACGATATCGTCACGGGCAGGGAGGAGTTATCTTCAATCTAGCACAGGCTTAGCAGCAGGCCCAATTGCACACGTGGGATGCATACCAGCTCTCCGAGGCGCTCCTGCGACCTCTGCTGCTGTGCGTACAGCCGCGCATTGAGCTCATCCTGTTGACGCTTCTGCTCCTTCAGATCCGTCTTGTTCTTGAGCCTTTCGAAGACCTTGTGGGCCAATTAGCGATGCATCACCCCCAGGACGCAACAAAACTGCTTACATCGTCTTCATGCGGCGACGCCATTGGGCTGTTGGTGTCTTCGTGCGTGATGCTTGGCGTGGCTCAGAAACCTTGAACTCTGAATCGTCGCGGGCGGCGGATGCACGTGCGCTGCTCTCCAACTGTGGTTCTGACCTGGGTGCGATACAAACTCCCTTTCACCCAAATTCGATTTCACCTATTGCGCCTGCCTTTGTCGTCGTTTTGTTTTTCACAGACTGAGGGGTAAATTCAAATATTCCCTCGACACTGCCTGCCCTCTTCCCTGGCCGCCAACTCACAGCGCATCCGATAGTCGACGTCAACTATCTCCGCCCGAGAACACGTCTACCTACCATCACCTCTTCTTACCCACACACACAACCACACAACATGGCGACACCGGCAGCCACCAAGCGCCTCACAAGGGAGTACGCTTCCATCTCCAAATCACCGCCACCATACATTACTGCGCACCCTTCGGATAGGAACATCCTCGAATGGCACTACATCATCACCGGCCCGCCAGACACGCCCTACCATGGCGGCCAGTACTGGGGCACCCTCAACTTCCCGCCCGACTACCCCTTTGCCCCGCCCGCCATCCGCATGCACACTCCATCTGGCCGTTTCCAGCCCAGCAGCCGACTATGTCTGAGTATATCCGACTTCCATCCCAAGAGCTTCAACCCCGCCTGGGAGGTCAGCACGATTCTGACAGGCCTGCTGAGTTTCATGACGAGCGATGAGATCACCACTGGCAGCGTCCGCGCATCAGAGGCAGAGCGGAAACTCTTCGCTCAGCGCACCCGATGGTGGAACAGCACAGGCGGCGGCAGCAAGGCGACTGGCTCGGACAACGCTGGTGGCCGCCAGAACGGCAACATCCGGGCTGGAGATGGCGGCGCAAAGTTTAGGCATGAATGGCCGGATGTCGACGAGGAGAACCTCAAGTGGATGAAGGACAACCGTATCGACCCCCTCACCGGTCTGCCGCGACCTGCATCTACCCCCTCACAGCAGCCCGCCTGCTCACCAGACGTCTCCGGACTGCGACGACGCCCCGGAACAAGCGCGACGGTCGTCCAAGATGCGGCGCAGATAGCACGAGACGCACAACAAGGATGGTTGAGTCGCAATAAGTGGAGGGTCGTTCTCGGAGCTGTCATGCTCTATATTCTAGTCGCGAGGGTACTAGGCGACGGTGCAATCGCAACTTCTACTTAGATGGAAGGGTTGAGGCATGCATAAGGATGCTAGGGTCGTGTGCATCATGGGAGACACAAGTCACGATTCATTCAAACAGGCATTTACTATGGCGTTGGTGGGCGCTCGGCATACCCAACTTTCAGTCGAGCACTCTGTATGATTATTAGTAGTAGCAAACTAAACACAATACGTGCATGCTACACCCCTCACTTGCTCTCCTTTGATTCATCCTTTGATTCATCCTTCGACTCATACGTCGCGCTGCCTCTGGTAAGGGGCGTTGTTTCTTGGTCCATCCTAGACTATATTCAACCCAAGATATGGTACCGACTACGTCTATAGTACTCATCAACACAAGCGCACTTGATCACCATAATTAAGCCTTGAGGCTTCGCCACAAATGAAGTGGACCCACGGTAAAACTAGGCTAAGTACGGTATCCAGCGATGACGCAGTGGAGATCCCCACAATTGACTTTCAGCCACCCGCCTCCGACTCCAAACCCAGACAACGTGCATTGTCCCAGCATGAACAAACCATATTGTTTGCTCATACATGAAATACAGAAGTACGCCGTGGCTCGAATGACTATCCCTCGTACGACTTGACTGACCAGGGAGATGGAGAGCGTTGGTGAGCTGTGTATCCTAAGTTTCACGTTATCCTAGTCCTGTTCGTCCGACGGTCGATAACTGATCATCGACCTGTATGCAGGGGTGACATGGGCGATCGGCAGGGTCGGGCGCGCAATTGGGTGGCTGAACGTGTTTTAGAACGAAGTAGCAGGCACGTTAGGCTACTCTTACGCGTGCTGCTTAATCGCATGGCCTATTATGATGGCATTCTTGGTGGGACTTGGATCATCGTTGTGCGCACCGGTCCCAACATCGTGGGTATGCAGGGCTTCGTTGCAGGTATATAGTAGCCTGGGCGGGACGCTGCTGGATTTTGTTTCGAAACTTATCGTTCACGCCCTTGACTTTGTCGTCTGTTATTGTCGTGCCTTCTTTGTTCTGCTTTACCAAAGATTCATCTATCCAGCCAGCTGAACTCACATTCAAACGTCGAAAATGCGGTTTTCATCTCTCGTTTCTTTCGCGATCGCAGGCGCATCTCTATGCACAGCGCTGCCTACAAATCTCACCAACTTCCTGCTCGTCACCACATCGCAAATAGACCCAAGTGCGAACACTTCTGAACTCAAAGCCGTCTCCGCCACTTCACTATTCGTAAGCTCTTGTGCCAAACCCACGAACCACAGCATCTTTTTATCTAACAACCATCCAGGACCCTTTCCACCAACCCGCCCTCCTTCTCCGCCTAACAGGCCCCGGTTATGGCTCCCTCCCCAACTTCACCCTGGCAGACGGGACACTATCCACCATCGCCCTAGCACCCTTCAGCACCACCGAGTACAAACAATTCAACAGCACTGTTGTGACGAGTGGATCGGAGCTACAGTTCCTTGCCTCAGTGCAGCCTGCGGGTAATATTGCCCTGGACGAAGGATACCTTCTGACCGTGGATGGCCAAAGAGAGGGTTGGACGATTTGCGAAGGTGACTTGGATCAGGAGGTGTTGAGCTGGAGGGGCAATGCGACTGATTGTACCAAGACGTATGTGCATGCTGTATTGAAGGCACCCTACTAGACCTGGTTACGTTCCAGGAGTAAAGGTTCTAAGCCATGCCGGATAATAAGAGAAATCGCTTCATATATCAGTCCCTGATTGTTCCTCTAATATGCCAATCAGCCGTGGCCACCTTTGAAGTCTTCTAGCCAGTCTTGCTCTTTGGTAGTCTGTTTTCTGATCGTAAGGCGACGATGTGATTCTCATCCTGTGCCGTTGAGGAACTTGCGCCACCAAACCGTCTCGGCGTCGAGGAACCATGGACTTGCAGCCGCTATAAATTCTTCTGGTGATAGCGCTGCTCCTGGACCCAAGTGTGCTAACGCCATGACAAAGACGTCGCAAGTTGTCAGACTTGTCCGAGCAAACACGCAGTTGGTGATGTGGTGCGGCATGGTGGCACCAGGGCTCCTATACCGAGAGTGTATTCGGCTTGTAAGGTATGTTGCTGTGTTGGTATCGACAATGGAAAAGGAGGCGAAGAAGACCGTAAAGATGCCAAGGGAAAAATACTTCGTGGTGTACTAGATGATACGTCGCTCATGGGTCATTATATTCGTATGATATGTCAAGATGACCTCTGCAACGAAGCTTTTGCCTTCTCTTTCTCCAATCTTTGCAGACCAATGTACGGTGTGATTCACCGCCCATGCACGTTTCCACTGAGGGATCCTGGTTACGGCGATACCAGCTGAGAACCCCACGTCTACTTCCTAATATAGAAGTGCGCGATGCAGACTTGTTGTTTGCCTCTCCAGACCACCAACAGGCTGAAATTTCAGACGCAGGATGGCTGCAGTGTGCCGGTGTAGACAACCAGTGATACAAAATGTCGTGGCGATTGGTGAGACTAGCACGAGCTGCGGTCCGTTATGCAAGTGCTGACAGATTTGCGCGGCTTGCCACAGTAAGCCCAAGAAGACGACAGGAAAGGTGGCGGTTCAGCGTCGGATGTGCAGTCTGATTCTCACAGGGGAATTGCTGTGATCGTGAAGATGATGCGCAGTACATACTCATGAGTACTTGGAGATATATATCATCTCGTCATGTATATAGCGAGGGCAGCTGCACGCGTCAGCAGGTCCGCCCACGCGGTCTCATGCACGAGTATCACTTCAGCATCTCCACCAGCCCGGTGGTCAAGGCCTAACTAGGAAGATAAGGATAAAATTTGGGTGCGGTGCGACCCGAGGACATCGCGTTCCAAGATGATGTTGGTCTGTGATGGAGCTATAAGTATGCAATGCTGTGATGCGCGTTGCGATTGGGAGGTGGTGGGCGGTAGTGCGGTGCTACTGGTTCGCTTGCAGTCAACGCGCAGCGAATGAGAGACCAAAAGCTCAAGGTTGGCAGCTGAGAGGTGGTCTAGTTGCTTTTTCGAGAGATGAGCGTGGAGACAGTAGAAGGCGAATATGCAAACTTAAGGGATGTATTCGGAGCAAGATTCTGGATTTGTAAAACCGACGACGCGGAAGCATAAGTAACCGAAGAAGGCGGAAGTTGGAGGATGCTATCAGGATACCGAGAACTGACCAAAGGGGTAGACAGACAGTCCAGATTCGTGTGGAGATTTTGCATGTGACGTACCAATAGACAGCTACAACAGCGCAGCGTGGATGTTCCTGACTTGGCCTGTATCGCGTGTCCTATGGATCTGGAGTCTTTCCGATGAGCAGCGCCGGGAACAAAATATCTTCTTTGTGACATGAATGGTTCGCATCAGTCATAGGATGAATAAAACAACCTACTTTTTTGTGCTTGGAGGCCCGTTGAGCCCAAGAACAGCTGAATGATATATGCCTATGCCGAATCGGGCGAGGTTTTGCGAGATATCCCATTGGATGTGACGCATCACCAACCCGTGCCGTCCCATATTCAAATTATAATAAGAGCCTGCGCTCGGATTTCCAGAGTGAAGTTATGTTTCCTGTTAGTGAACGTTGGCCGTATGCTGTGCTATCCGTGGTTGTGATCCACTTTCCGAGTCTCCCGAACAGACAACCGAAGTCCAATTTGTCTTCTTCTCCTCTCTTCACTTAGACCTGGACCTCTCAGATACTAGGAAATGTATTCGCAACCCACGTTAGGATGACCGGTGAAGGTGAGCTTATCATCGCACTGCGCCAATGTACTAAACAGTAGCACAGGTTGTGCAGTTCGTAGCAAACCTCTATGACCCAACTAAGACACCAGTGAACCGTCGACCGCCAGTTGCACTCCGCGACCTGTATACACGATTCGCCTAGTCATCTCTGGCTCCGTGACTCCCCGACTCTTACTCGCCTTATAGGGTCTTGCAGCGTGGGCCGAGAAGTGAAAAGCTTTTTAGAACCAAACAGTATAAATCGCGACTCTATCTGGCTGAACCGGCAGCCTGTCAGATCTAAGGAAGAGTAGTAACATTGGGAGAACGCCCGGACATATACAAAAGGTGCTAAGATCTCACCGACGCAAACTGCTTCCGAAAAAAGCATGCTCGTGCGGCGATGGCGTGTCGTACGTCTTGCAACGGCTGAGACGTAAGGAAACCAGATTCTGATTGCCGGATCTCACCATCTTGTGTAGAAAATGCCGCTCTCTGGACACCGCTTTCGGTCTCGGTCTCGCAGCTTGAAGTCGTTCATGATCATCTGCGCGATGATCTCGGCGACACTTAGGAACCCTGGAGATGCAGGTAAACCTCCATCAATCCTTACCGAACCCCGCATCCTGGAACACAAGCTCTCTGAAGTCGATGTTGGTGTCGCCACCATCTACCTATGGAACCGAGATGCCACGCACACCTGTCAGCGACTTGCATTCGTGGCTGGTTTGCGGAAGACCTTGTCGGCTGTGTCGCTGGAAGCAGTACTCGACGCGCTCTGTTCCTGTGGATAATCGCTACCGAAATACGCCTCAGCCATCCTGCATGCTCTTGTCAGTGTGCTAGCTGTTGTTGGCTGTTCTAGTGCGGAACAAAGCCAGCCGAGGGTTGGGGTTGCAACGGGTTGGCGCTGCCGCTGCACACTTGGCGCCTCCCGCCCCCTAGGTCGATCGCGACCCTCCATCCTCTCTTACCGTCTCATCTAGAAGATTTTAACACACCAAACACGTTCTGTCGTCAAGGTTATTGTCAAAACTGTGAGAAACAAACACACAAATAGCCCAGCAAGTATTTTGGATAACCGACGATGACTTGGCTATTACGTCTTCAGGATGCCATGTTCACTTGGGTCATGAAATGATCATGCAATGCCGCGCCTCCGCCCAGACTTGGAGCCCAGCGCAGGATGCGCGCTTCGGACTATCTTTACATTTGATGTCCATGGCAATCACGAAAACTGCGTGGGGCGCGTGTAGTTTCGAGCCTCTGGACATAGCCTAACCGAAGACATGGCTCTGAGAGTGGTTCGATGCCGGAGCTCATGGTCTGCGAAATTTTTCAATCCCCAACATGGTAAGTGACAATGAAATTGGCGATACCGAATCTCGTGTCCCTGTTTCTGCACCCGCGGCGTGGTACACCTATCAGAGCGGGTGTTGTTTCACAGCATGACTGTCCATCACTCCTTCGAAGCTTTGCTGGTGCAACCCTATGGGACCGGAGTACACGGTGCCAGTGTGCTGGACAGCAATGCCGTCTCGATATCTATTCCTATTGGACGCCGTTATGCACACCACCCTGGGGGCCGGCCAACCAAGCACTACCCCAGGATATCTTACCGGTTTCCTGTAGGATCTGCACACGCCCTGAACAACGCTCGTTTGCGGGGTCACAATGCTCTCACATGCAGAGAACCCGGCCTGTCGTCGCTAAGGCTACCAGCGGGCGGCAGAGAGCGCAACAGTGAATATCAAAACCTAGTCATCCTGCACAGACTACACTCGATCAGGATCACGCGCCCGTTTGTGCTCTTGGAATTATAAAACCAACACCCTGTCTCCTCTTGATTCTCCTCTCCTCTAACCTGGCCCATAGCTTTGTCAATCCATACTGGTCACGACCACTTGGCAAGATGAAGGTTAGTTTGCAAGCTCTGATGGCTTCTAAGTACGCCCGCTGACAATGCCTCTACAGTTTCCACAGATCTACAACGTCTACGCCATTTGCGGCTTTGCCGCCCTTGGTGGTATCCTCTTTGGTTTCGACATCTCGTCGATGTCGGGCGCATTGGGTACCCCAGCTTACAAGAACTACTTCGGTAATCCCAGCGGTACTCGCCAAGGTGGTATTACGGCGTCGATGCCAGCGGGTTCTCTTGTCGGTGCCCTGTCCTCGTCCTTCCTTGCCGATCGCCTGTCGCGTAGGAACGCTGTTCAGATCGCCGCGCTCATCTGGATTGTTGGCGCTGTCTTCCAGGCCGCCGCCAACGGCGTCGCTCTTCTCTGTGTCGGCCGTGCTGTTGGCGGTTACGCTATTGGTATCTGCTCGGCCATCGTTCCTGTCTACCAAGCAGAAATCGCTCCCAAGGAGATTCGAGGACGTGTGGTCTCACTGCAACAATGGGTACGTAGATACTCAAGACGTCTATAAGATGTACATTAACTCCGTATAGGCCATCACTTGGGGTATCCTGATCCAATACTTCATCCAGTACGGCTGCTCTTTCGTCGATGGTGGAGTCAACAACCCCAACCAGAGCACTTCGGCTTTCAGGATCCCATGGGGTATTCAGGCTGTTCCCGGTGCTATTCTCTTCGTCGGCTTCTTCTTCTTCCCTCGCTCTCCTCGATGGCTCGCGTCCAAGGACCGGTGGGAGGAGGCCCTCCAAGTTCTCGCCAACCTTCACGGTGACGGTAACGTCAACCACCCCAAGGTCCTCGCTGAATACAAGGAAATCGAAGAGGCCCTCGCCTTTGAGCGTGAAGTTGCCGAGACTAGTTTCGCTGCCCTGGTAAAGCCCCGCATTGTCAAGCGTGTCGTCCTTGGCATGTCCATCCAAATGTGGTCTCAACTTTGCGGCATGAACATCATGATGTACGTTAGCCCTTTGCACTAATTATTCATACGGTACGTACTGACAAACTCAAAGGTACTACATCGTCTTCATCATGCGTGGAGCTGGTATCGCCGACGAACTTCTCACCGCCTCGATCCAGTACATCATCAACGTCGCCATGACCTTGCCAGCTATCCTCTACCTCGATAAGTTTGGTCGTCGTCCAGCTTTGCTTTGTGGATCATTTATGATGGCTGTCTGGCTCTACACCACCGGTGCCCTCCAAGCTTCTTACGGCAACCCTAATCCAGACACTACTGACCGTGACATCTCATGGGTTGTTCCCCGTGAGCACAGCGCCGTCTCCAAGGGCATTGTCGCTTGCTCATACCTCTTCGTCGCCACCTTCGCGACTACCTGGGGTCCTACCTCATGGACTTACCCGTCTGAGATCTTTCCCGCCAAGGTCCGTGCGAAGGCTGTCTCTCTCGCTACTGCTGCCAACTGGACCTGGAACTGCATTCTCGCTTTCGCCGTTCCTCCTCTTCTATGGTCCATCAACTGGAAGATGTACATGATCTTCGGTACCTTCAACGCCGTTGCCTTCATTCACATGTTCCTGACCGCTCCGGAGACCAAGGGCAAGACTCTTGAGGAGATGGATGACGTCTTCGACTCTGGTCTCCCTGCCTGGAAGGCGGGCAAGGTTGAGTCTCGTCTTGACCGTGTTACTCGCGATATTGAAGCTGGCAATATGAAGGTTGCCCGTCACGGTGTCGAGGACGTCAATGTCGAGCCTAAGGCCTAGGCTTTAAGCAGCTGTCTCTAGACATGAGTCGTATGTAACGACGACTGGTGTTTTTTGCTGCTCTGATCTAGATTTCAGGAACTAGATAGGCATTTCGCGGTTTATATGAAGGGTTTGTGCGTATTTACACAGCTAAGGATGGTTGACGACGTGGTCTATGAATACGCTTGAGCGACTTTACAACATCTTACACGGACAGCCACGTAGCGTACTCCACTAATACATTCACTGATCTACCGCTCTCCACAGTTGCGTTTGCTTGATTACTGGCACTCTCGCCGCGCAACCACTTCAGACTTTCAAATGTTGATGTTAGAGCGATTACACCATTACTATGGCGTTGTTGACAAGACCGAGAAAGGCAAGAGCTCGGACCGTCGCTCTCTCACCTCGCTGGACTTTTCACGAACTGTCAAAATCACGGCTAGCCGATATGAATTCTCCACACAATGCTACCCTCGCTGCTCCATTAACGCCTTCCCTTGACGATCGCTTGTAGCATTACTGACCTGCTACACTTCGAGACACTATCCGCAAGCACATGCAGTTGTGGAGCGCAACTTTGCTACGTAATGTGTTGGTGACTCGTTCACTTTAATTGATAAGATACGTACTGACTGAGAAGCTGTAGCCTACGGAAGCCGCGTAATGGCGAGAACCAAGCACCAGGAAACTCTGATGTCACTGTGAGGCGCCTTCAAAAATTCGACGTCGACCCACTAATGCTACACAGCATCCAAGGACCTGGTATGGAAGTCGTCGTTAGCCATGGAGTGCATACAAAGAACTGGGTCATCCCTAAAGCCCTTCTAAGCCATCACTCTGGGTTCTTTCGAGTTGCCTGCGATGGACCGTTCGAAGAAGGAATCGAGAACAAGATCACGCTACATGACTGTCGGCCAGAAGTCTTCGAAGCCTTTTTGCATTGGCTATATTTCGCGACCTTATCACATCTCAAGCCGGAGTGGGATTACATATACGGCAGCTTTCGTCTTTGGATACTTGGCGATCGACTCCTTGTCGCGGACTTCAAGAACGCCGCTATGCGGGATCTCTACGACGTACATGTAGTCCGGGAACAATCTGTCGAGCCTCATGAGATCGAATTTATCTGGAAACATACTGCCCGTGGGTCTGCACTTCGTCGTTTGGTACTGGACATTGTATCTTTGAACTGGGAGAAACACTGCGGCATGTATGCACAGTCGGTATGGTTGGGTTTATTCAGGCAGTTCCCCGACTTCGGAGACAGTCTGTTGCTCCGTCTAGGTACTAAAGATACAGAGTTGAAGATCGAGAAATACTTGGAAGAGGCTAAGAAGGTAACCCTCGACGAGCTTGATACGGAAAGGTAGTGCGAAGCAATACTATAGCTAGAAAGATCTCATATAGCTCATAAAAACATGCGTCTTTGAAGAAAGCACTCATGCGTGTTTGTGCTGGCTTGTGTTTTGTTCTTCTTCCACCTTGAGGATGCGTTCGAAGTAAAGGTATCTCTCACCTTCACCAACCGCGTACTAGCGCTGTCTTAGCTGGGTAGCTTGCCACAAGTTTGCCACTTACATGAACTCCTTTGACGATCACGACTCTTGTTATCTCTCATCAAATCAACAACCCACAATTTCCATGATGAATAGCATCACGCAGCAGCAACTTGCGCCACTGCCAGCAGCGCACGGCACGACTCCGCCACCACCAACGTCTCATTCGGACATGTTCTTGAACATGTAATTGTCTCATCCTCCAGCCTCAAGTGACTTGTCTAATTCTAGGATCTAGGATACAGGGCAAATCAGTCACTGTAATTGTCGGCCAACACTCTTTGTACTGCACCTACACCCTGCCCGTCGCCCTACTATGCGTTCACTCTTTCTATCTCGGTAAAGAAATTGCGGGCTTAACCATGGTTAACAAAAAGCGCAAACTGTCTCCTTCCAGAGAGGGCGAGGAGGTCGAAGCAAAGGTTGTGGTAGAGGCTAAGGACAAGAACAAAGATGAGAAGCCTACTGAGGAGAAGAGTGTAAAAGAGGACAAGATCAACGAGGAGCGAGTTATCAGGCTAACAGATGTGGATCCTGCAATCTTCGGTCTCTTCCTAAAGTTCATCTACAAAGACTCATACCCACCGAATGTCGACGCAAGAACATCAACGACCCACTACCCTCATCGCTCGTTGACAGCTGTCCCAAAGTCGACCACTCTAGGCTCGGAAACTGCTACAGCACTCCGTCAACCGTCTTCGAAAATCTCACCTGCCAATAGCGATGGACGTATCCAGGCCACTCCTCCACTAAGCCACATGCCTGCCCTCATGCCACCGCCTCCATCTCCACAAGACATGAACCAGATCGAGTTCATCCCTCCCTCTGTACACGCATGGCTCCTCGGGCAACGTCTCGGCGCTCTTCCCTTCATGAACCACGCTATATCCCGAATCTACGCAGGTATCGGAGTCTACTTTGCTCTCACGCCCTCACTCTTGGACTACGTTTGGAAGGAAACCTCACCATCACCGACGATTGCCTCTTCATCATCAAATTCTTCATCCGGATCAACTCCATCAGCTACGGCAAAGAATGTCCTCGCCCCCTCCCCTCTCCGCAAACTCCTCCTAGACGTCCTTGTAACGCACTGGTCACGCCACCACCCCTCGAACCCCAATGCCGTTGTCGTCCGGTCTTTATCAGTATCACCAAACTTTTCAGCGCCGCTGAAGGTCGCTTGGGATAGGCTTTTTGATGAGCATACTGATTTAAGGAATGAATTTATCTATGGACTTCAGGGTGGTGTGCAGTTGATGCCTGCCAACGCCTATTTTGCAACACCACTACCGACTGGGCAGAGCGGTATGGTCAAGGGTGGAGTGGCGAACAGTGAGTTTAGGAAGGAGCATGGTCGAGGCAGCGGACAAGCGGAGAAAGAAGTGGTTATCAAGGAGGACAAGAAATGTGAGATGGATGCTCTGGCAGATAAGAAAGAGGGCGGCGGCTGAGATGGCTTGACATTCCACGTCGGCATGTCCTTTCTGGAAGCCTTGGGAATATCTGAGGGTCTAAAATCGGGGTTGGATGTGTGGAAAAGCCTGATGCCGCAGGAATATTATGGTCTCGAATCAGGAAAGGCTGGCACAATGATAGAGAAAATTTACTTCGTCATATGTGAGGTACGCTGATCGTCGAGTATTTACATCGTGAAGTCATTGCTATTACACATCCCATGATAGCATCACAGTACCGATACTCTCACGGACAGATCCTTACCCCTCGAACTCTAGTAGGCACTGCGGCACGATAATCGTCAGCGAGTCCAAGCATCACCAACACGTTCCTGCCACTCGTGCTCCATATCCTCCGCACATGGCTTACAAACCCCCATACGACAAACAGCGATGTCACATTCCCAAAGCTCTTCTTTGACGTCATCGTCACACCGGTCGCAGAAAACAGGGACAGAAACATGCTGTTTGGAGCCAACAGCGGTGTGCAGGTAAGGTCGGACTTCTAAGCTGTTGATGGCGACCTCATCAGGAACAGTCTTGAGATTGATAGGGTGGAAGATATGGCCATTCGTGAGACAGTAGTGCTCTTTTGATGACAGCCTGGGTGGGTGTGGTGGTGGTGGATGCGAGGGGGGACGTGGAGGTGTAGAGCAATCGTCTTTAGGGAATGGAGCAGGCGGAATCCGTTGATCAGCGAGAACATCAGGATCGATACGTTCAGAGACCGGGCATTGTTTCGTGTGATCGTAGGTGGACATCCAATCTTGGACGAGCAGACGTGAATCATCACGGGGCATTTTTGGTTTCTTGTCCTTGTCGAGGCGGTTGTAATCTTTAGTGGGAAGCTGACTAGGTATGGCTGTTGGCTGGATTCTGTTAGTTATGTTGGTGACTGAGAGGATATACTTACGCACATCCACATGCTTGCTGCGCTCGTTGAAAGGACTAATCCTCTCGTCGTGTTGGAAGAAAAAAGCGCCAGCCGGCTTGAAAGGCGGCTTCATCTGGGTAGATAAAGCTAGCATAGGCAGTGGCACGGCTGGTGCGGTCGGTGCAAGTGGAGCAAGTGGCTTCCTTGTCTTGGCGGCAATGTCGACGAGCTTGACCATACCGGGAGTAATCCGCGTGAAAGTCATGACCTCTTCGTCCAGATTGATACTGCTTGAGATTGAGATCGAGTCTTCATCCTCGCTATCGGCGCCGTCAAAGCGCTCACGCTCCTCCGAGGCCATGTTTTGCTTTGCGGTCGCGAACTCCATTTTCATAGTTTTGTTCGACGCCATGAGAGCAGCATAATTGGTGTCAAGCATGAGTCTTGTCGCGTCGTTTTCGTTTTGCCTTGTCCTGACAATCGCTAGTTGAGCCTCTGCCTCGTCGAGCAAACGATCTTCGACCGTCTGTAATGGGCTTCGGAAGCGGAATCCAGTGGCTTGCTGGTCTCCAACATGATTGACGTCAACCTCATCTCCAGGATGGACGGCAGATTGCACCTCTCCGTCTCCATCGCCCTCTTCCACGACTTGGTCTGTTGGCGAGAGATCGTCCGCTTCCAGCTCGTACATGACGTCAGATGTGAGCAACGGCTCAGTATACAACTGAGGCAGTGGGGGCTTGGATGAAGGAGAGAATTGTTCGCACTCAGAGATAACACCTAGCTCAGGACACTGTTCGTTCACATGGTAAGATGAGCGTAGCTCATCGTGAGACGTCTCCGTGATGGGTGCCATTTTGTCAAGCGATTTGGGAATTCTCTTGCGCATACGCCGTCTTGGAGTCTCGGGAGCCAGGCGCGCAGCCGGATGAAGCAAACGAGAATGAGCATGAAGTTCAGAGTCGCTACTGTAGTATGCATCACTATCATCCTCTGTACGCCGTACTAGAGAAGCAGCTGCAGCGCGCTCCATATCGGCTTCACGTTTGGAACTAGTTGCGGCAGATGGGAGTAAGCCTAACATTTGCTGCGCTTTCCTGTTGCTGTTCGCCCAAAACTTCTTGGCTTTAGGCAGATCAGGTCCAATGCCTTCCTCCTTGAGCTTTGCCTGTCTACTCAACAGGCCCTTTGAAGAGGCAGGTACCGGCGCGGATACTTTCCTAGTCGATTTTGGCAATACTGGTGGACCATCGTAACCACCATCTTGCTGTGAACGACGGCCTTCGGAATTGCTCCGAGCCCTACCAGGACCAGCGTCAACGCCTAGTAGTTTTGCGGCTTTCACAGGGGTAAGTGGTGGTAGAGGCGACGCTTCATGAGCAGTCTCATGTGAGCTTGCGGGACAGTCCTGATCCTTTGGCTTGAAGCTAAATTTGCCATGCTTCTTCTTCCCCTCTGTCGCTGTTGCTGAAGCGCTGTCTATCGTGGGCGTAGGCGATTGAGCGATCAGCATGCTCGAAAGGTCATCGGATGGGCGCGAGATAGGAGAGCGACGGCGGAGTCCTGGAGGGCCACTGTTCGGCGCGAAGTGGTTGACCGTGGGATTTGAGGGCTCGGAAGAAGGTGAACCATGCGGTTGTTCTACACGTTCAGTATTCAGTCCTGCAGTGACACCATTCGCATACTCCATCGCGGCAAGTGAGTCAATTCCGAGATTAGGCGTAGTGTTGGAGCGCATCGCGTTGGAGCGGCGCGTGCTGCGGCGTCTCCGACCGCCAACCACCATAGCAGGTCCCATGTTCCACGTGGCCCCGGGCGGAGGGTTGGCCATATCAGTATACCTGACCATTTTCCCGAACGAGGCTCTTTGTCGTGGGGTGTGGGGTCTGGTGATTGACGGATGTACCGATTCGAGATTCGAGTATGACGAGGCAATCAGGCCAGAACAAAGCCAGCGACCTAGAGCGAAGTTGAAGCGTAGCAGTGATCAACGCATTACGATATTGCAATCGGGTTGTGGTCATAAAATGCGAGGATTCGCCCGAGTATTGGACAAAGCGCCAAGCTTGGTCTGTTGTGGTCGAGTCACCAACAAACGGAGTGCTTGGCCACGCGAGAGCGGCAGTGAATGAGGAAGGCGCGGCATAAAGATGACGTCGGCGAATGAACAACGTGGGACTAACAGGTGAATGTGAAAACGAGGAAACCAGGTGGCCTCCACAATATCTATTATGGATGATGTGAAATCTGCGCGAGGGAGATGTAGGCGTACAATGAAGGAAAGAACGACCTCAGGGAAGATGAATATAAAGGGAACATAATTAAACGGAACTATTAGAAAAAGAAGACCTATACTCCTGCAAACCACGGAATGAGATCTTGGGTATCTTTGTGGACGCAACCGTGCTACGATCCATGCCACCGTCCGTGTGGCATCCGCCTCTGTGCACTGATCTCAACCCCAACGTCACGTAACACCCACTGCACCCGAGACCGAAAACGCTTGAGTGGCCTCCATGGGATGTTGAGAAATGAGCGAGTAAAAAACTACAAACCAGTACTGCGTGTTGAAAGATTCGGCATATCAACGTCTCTTTCTCGATTTTCTGGCTTTGCGGTCTGCCATCGCTCGCCTTAACAATTGGCGGGCTCCATACTATGAGCCTGCTGATTCCCCCTTACTCTTCGGGCTGCTGAGGATAGCAACCTGTTCAGCGACACCGCTTCCGCTCTTGGCCCTGCCACTCTCTGGCGATGCTGGGATATCGATCGAACTTCTCAACCCTACTCCACTGATCCTGCCTACAGGTGTCTCGGTCGGACTGGATACTACTGTCGCATCATCCAAAACTTTCGGTGCCTCATCGACAGGCTCTATTGAGTCCGGTTCGCGGGTCAGTTTCGCTGGCTTTTTGCTTGGGCTTGCGCCAAGGCCCCGATGAACTTCAACTGAATGGGATCCATGGAGAAAATCAGAGATGTCTGCCTCGCTTGTACCCTTGCCATCAGGCGTCTTCGGTACAGGTCCGGGACTTCGCGGGCTTCTAGGCATGTTGGGTTGGAAGAATTTCTGCACGGCGTTTCGGTCATCTACTTCGTCGTCCTCGTCGCTAGTCTCGTTGAAGTAGATGCTATCCCAATCGCCCGAGCCTATACTACGGGTCGAGTCGGTTGTATTCGATCGCTTGGGTATCCTCAGACTCGGCGGCTTGAGTGGCGCTAGTTCGTCAGCCACTTCCCTCATCTCGCTATCGGTACGCTCAATAGGTGGCTGCAGTCTCTCCTGCCCCTTGACATGCTCGCCATCTTCATTGATCGGTTTGTTGACAGCTTGTGCACGATCAAGGGCAGGTTCTTCTTCATCCCGGGTGTTGGCTGAATAAGTATCTGCGAAGTGAGTATCGCAGAGGTGCTTTACCACAGGCCAACCATACGCGTTAGCAAACATGCGGCGTACAATCATGTTATTGTGCGCGTCCGGCTCAAGACTGACAAGCACTTTACGCCACGAAAGGTCCTTGTGATAAGCGCGAGCAATCTTCTCCTCCACGCGCATCACACTTTCGTCAACGGCAGTTGTTGACGCCTGAGAGGAGGCGCTAGCACCAGAGAAGTTGCGTGTCGGTTTTTTGGTTGGCGGCGGTGGGATGTCTTCAGGGTGGTAGATCCTGTCATGGAAAATGGTGCGTGCTCGGGTGGATGGGTCGGTAATCCAGGACATTGGAGGGACAGGGGGGTTGATCAGATCACCAGCGGATTCAAAAATCGTAGTTTTGGGTGGTGCTAGATGGCTTTTGGGGTTGTCAACGATGGAGTCACCACGGGTCGCTTGAGGTCGCTTCCTTGGCTGTGTGGTATGTGATGACGTCGAGCTCTCGGCTTCAGCTGGGGCCTGCTCGTCCTCTTCGTCCTTGTAAATGGTCTGACTACGACTAAACATCTTCTTGTCGCGCGAAGTGTGCTTTCCGGTTGGTCTTATATAGCTCCATAGTTGCATCAAGGTATTTTGCGGTTGGAAGTATTGGTCATTGGGCTCCTTTGCCTCTGGACTCTTCTTTTGCCCTTCTATGAACTGATGAGCTGCTGGCTCAGTAGAAGATACCTGTGCTTCGTCGTCTTGATTTGTGACATCGGCACCTGGTAGAGGTACGGCAGTGTCGTCACCATTGCCTGTAGGCGAATCAATTCCCGAACCCTCATCGTCCGAAAACCCGATCCTGGAAGGGTTTGGAGATGAACTTTGTCCAGTAAGTTGGCCGTAACCCCATACAGCTACTGTGCCAATGAGTCCGTTTTCTCGACGCGCTTTTTCAACACGACCTAAGCCTCTCCAATCCAGGAACAGTAGGCAACTCGTGCGCAATGGTACTATGCCATCGTTAACAACGTTGGAGTACACAGTGCGATTCCGGAATCTTCGCAGGACTTGATGAGCCGGACCAGTAGGAAGTATCCGCAGCAGAGGCTTCGCACCAGGGTCTTCTTGATGTTGGTCCTGGCTCTGGTTACCGAACACACTGCCCATGGCGGTCCAGCCACTCTTTGCTAGAGTTGGCGCTCTCCAGGTCAGACCAAGGTCTTGCCCTGTCCTCCCGACTAAGCCGAAGTCGAGTGCAAACTTGACGTAGGTGGGATTCTCGTTGCTTAATCCCAGGAAAGGTGACGCCATAGCGATAAAGTTGATGGGCTTGATGGTGTCGAAAAAGTGAGGGGAGTGCTTGTGGATATATGCAATAGCATACGTTTGTACCAGCCCTCCAAGCGAGTGGCCGATGAAGCTGATACTAGTGAACTTGTATGCGCGTTTGTCGTGCCCTGAAGTTGTGTGATGTACACTGCTTCCGTGATGGGATGGTATGCCTTCATCGTGCTTGTCTTTCGTTGGAGAAAACGTGTTGGATAACTTTTGTCCCATAGACCTCTTGATCGGCAAGTAGGGTTGATCAGGGTAAGTCAGACTCAACACGTACTTAGCGAGTCGCTTGCCCAAATATTGAATACCACGCTCGGTACGTATTACATTTCCGTCGAACCCGCGTACAATAACATCTTCCTCGTCGCTATCCTCTTCATCATCTGGTATGTCCTCTTGACCGCCTGACAATGGTGCTGTCGATGTGTCCTGATTCTGTTCAGTACTTTTAGCACCCTTCGCCTCTTTGCGACGCCGTCGCCGATCTTCTCGAGCTTGCCTTGCCGTCGCGTCAATGCTCTCTTTGAGGTACAACATATCCGCGCCAAGATTGCTGTGTAAGCCATGTGTTACTATCACAAGGTGTATATTCTTCTTTTTCCGTCGGCTTTCCGCCGGAACATCGTGATCCTTCGACTTTCTGGAACTATCTTGGACATTGTCCTCTTTCCACTCTGGTAGTTCAGGTGTATTCCACAAGCTTGTAGTGTCGTCAACCACTAGCTTCACAGCCTTTGAATACACCCCCTTGGGCTGTGCAGGGTGGCCGGAAACATGTTTCTGGCTACCCTGCTGGTGATCTTGCACCTTTCCTGGTGTTCCATGACTGTTTCCGGTAACAGCAGTGAAGCCAAGATCCAACGATCGTTCGTCGCGCGCCACCAGCAGTTCGTAGTTTACAGACGCAGAGTTGGAAAAGATGATCTGCGAGGCAATCTCGATAATCCAGGTGAGGCTCTTCGATGTGCCGTCGTACTCCCTGATATCATTTCTGTATTCCTCCGGAACTATTAATTTGGTGTTCCAGTATCCACCTGCCTTGACATTAGGCTCAAAGTCAGGCTCCCCGTAAATTTTCGATTCGTCAGCCTTTTTGTTCGGGTTGAAGGTGGAGGGGTATGCGGAGACGTGGATCGTGTACGGCCCGTGGAGGTATGCGGCGCGTAGTGGTATCGCGGAGGAGTTTCGTATGCGAACATGGAGGCACGAAGGGGGCGGTAATATTCGGTCTTCCGAGGGTGTGTAAGTGAGGGTGTATCTGCATGGCTGCTTAGCATCCCTTTCCAGATAGCGGTAAACTTTGGCGCGCCCTGTCCATCCTCTGTAGCCAATGCATACGACGTCCATGCACTTCCGCCGACAGACCCTGAGAACTTACCTCACAACCTCTCCCACCTTCACGCTCCCCTTTTGGTGCAACAATAACATCTTCAGCGCGCGTTTTTCCTCGGCTTCCCGTTCCTTCCGCGACTGTATACACACAAAATACGAGGGCTCAGGGCGTTTGCGGCCGTCGTCGGCTATGTGAGCGAGGGAGTAGGTGCGAGGCGTGAGCAGCATTTAGCGGATCCAGCGGAGACCGGTACAACCAATGGACAACAGCCACAGGCGCGTCATAGGACTTAAGTAGCTGTGGCTGATCGCACCGTGAGAATTAATATGGGGCCGAGGGAACGTCGCGAGGGCCAGAGGGATGATGTATACTGCGAAGTTTAGCGACCTTGAGGTGGTCACGCACGCGCTCGTCGGAGATCGTCGTGCGTCATTGCTCGCGTGGCAGGCGCGCTGCACGAGGCGGCAGATAGGTGCATTTCTGAGACTACAGCGCGTGGGTTCGGTAACATTCTGACAACCTTACATGCGATCACCGCGCTTATCAGATGCAGTGTCAGATAGGCTACAAATTATTGGTTGCAGTTCACGCGTCCTCGGCTTCCAAGACATGGACTCGTCGGAACGCACCTTGGCCGGCTTCCGACCTCACTTCTCTCAGCCTCCTCCTCCTTGGACGCTCTCACCCCGACTCATTCCAGGTATATATACGTACAGCGCGTAGAATTACATCAGGCTTCCTTTCGACCAGCCTATATCCCCTAGGAGTGATATGTATTCTTCGTCTCGCGTTCCGGAATGACGTAGTGAGGGTGTATGACGACGTCTGTAGACCTTCAGACATTTGTTAGCGCATACACGTATTCACCAACTTGCTTTTAAGATCATCACAATGGACATTTACACGTATGTCTAGTGGTCTTCAGATGCTTCTTGGGCTACGGAGGTCGACAAAGATGACGCGTGAAAGGAGTTCAGCACATCATCAGGATCACAGACGAGGTTCGAAGTCGATTCGACTGGAGCTTTCATCACGTCATATCCAAGTTAAGATCGAAGGCCAAATTCAACGTTCCTGAAGTCCATCTCAAAAATCTAGGGGTATATCTGTGACCAATCTAAACGCCATGCTGAACGCGGCCCCAATCCAAGACCTTTTACTCTAGACAGCAAATCTAGTGTTGATCTCTTGTCTCAAACCGTTCCAGCTCCAGGAGAGCCACCGCCTGGACCCTTGCTCTTGTCAAAGGATGGCGACATCGGTGACTTTGGAGATCCTTGATCTCGTCGCGAGCCACCTGAGCCACGACCTCGAGGAGTACCAGAACCGCGTGCACTCGAACCTCGACCAGATCCTGGCTGGCTGACAGGGCCGCGACCTCGAGGAGTCGAAGGACTACCTCGACCATAACCACCAGAAGGAGGGGATGAAGAGAAGTTGCGTGAAGCTTGGAAAATCAGCTTAATCCAAAGAGATATATGATGGAAATGTCACTTACAACTCGGAGCGGATGAAGCAGAGTTGATTTGATGGGTAAGCTGTGTTGGTGTTCGTTCGACACGGTCGAAAACAGCATCTCCAGCGATATCATAATCTTCTTCAGCGTCTGTTCTATGTCAATAATGCTCGTGATTCCCGGTTGGCACTATATTTACCTTCACTGAGATCTTCACCAGGTAGGCGGTCACCCCGAGCTAGGGAATCCTCTTCCTCCTGTTGGATCTCCCAGTACTGGTGGGCAAAGGCCTGGAACTGAGGACGACCAGGGCCTTTCCACACGAACTTGACTCGGCGACCAGTGGGCGGGTCGAAGACATGGTAATGCATATCGTTGAAGTCGAGAGCGTCAGTAAGGTTGCAGCGTACAAAGGCAGGACCTTGCTTCACGACGAAGCTTCGTGCGTTCTTGTCGCTACCAACCACCCACGTAGCTGTCTTCATGCTCGAGCCGTCGCCGCCATCGTTTGCACCTGGAGGTAAGGCAGTTGGTCCGTATTCAGCCATGTCGATGTTAGATAAATGGAAGAGACTTAAGGGAAGCGTTGAAAGTGTATATAAAAGTCGAAGAGTATTAGAGGTAGTTGGTAGATTGCTGTCCAAAGAAAAGAGTTAAGGAAGGTAGAAGCTATTTGTATAGTGATATCAGAAATAAAGAAAGGCACCAAAGACCGTTTGCTCAGGCGTCAGGTGTGGAATTACGCCATTGTCTTCGTCTCTCACCCGTAGAATAAGCGCATGATGTAGTCTGGAGGCAGAGTTAGCGAGCTCTGCAAACGGCCTCCATTCAGAGAAGGAGCGACTATCGGTGACGGTTTTTACGAACGAAGAGGCGGTGCAGGAGCGCCGAAATGTCAGAGAAAGAGGCGGTGGTAGTGCGGCCTAACACATCATCATTTGCCTTGGTTGAAGAGATGGACAATGAGACGTAAACTGGTTGACAAGGAGCGCCTTGGGTATCTCCTTAAAATTTATATACTTTTGTGTTTGCTCGTAAAGTACGCACAACACGAGCAAGCTGTTTCCATAGTATCACGCTCACAGATTCCCCTGGCGAAAGTTCACTTGTCTTGCTGTCTCTGTACCGCTATACATGACATCACTATGTAATCTGCGTCTCGAGCATGTTTTTGTGCAGCAAAAAGACATATTGCCACACTCGAGGTATCCGCGGTGTACGTTCACCGAATACAGGGAAAGACAAGACAGGCAAGAATTGACAATAGACATTGGGCAATCAAATAGAGGCTACTATGTTAATATCATGGCCATGAGCCTTGATGGAATCGTGCGTAGTTTACTCACCTGACACATCCTCATCGTCTTCTAACCAAATGTAATCATCGTGTCGATATGTTCCTACTCTGAGAACAAACTTTCAAGTATCATACCATATGCTTCCGCCGCCTGTACAAGTTCATCTTGACTCAACATCTCATCCGGCGTGTGTGCGACTTCAATCGTTCCGGTGCCAAACAAATATCTCTTCTCCACCTGTGGCAGACTCGGAATATCTGTACCATAGAAAACAGGGGCTACCTCCAAACCCTCGACATCGGTATCGAGAATAGGTGCGGGGTACGTAGTATTCGAGAAACGAACATCGAATGTAGCGTTTTCTGCCTTCGCGCGAGCAACAATGGGTGAAAGCATTCCTGCCATCATGTCCTGGACAACGTCGACTGCATCGTCTTCGCTGCGAGCGATACGAACAACGATACTAGCATTCGCGTGTTCAGGCACAACGTTACCCGCAACCCCGCCTGCAATAACGCCAGCATTGAGAGTTGTGGCGCCGAGTAGCTCGCTTCTAGGAAGAGCCGGCTCGAGCATGTTAAGTGCAACGATGGCTTCGGTTAGATAGTTGATAGCGCTTACACCAAGCCAAGGGTAGGCGGAGTGAGAGGATTTGCCCAGAACATCCAGGTCCACGCGTAAACTGCCCTTGTGTCCACTAGCCAGTTTGCCTTCTGTTGGCTCGCCGAAAATACCTGCACGGAAAGTTGTGTTCGAAGCATACTGTAACGGTGAAGCCACAAAGTCAGTACGTGCTTCACATGCATTTGGTACAGTTGGGCTTACTTGTGCAAATGCTTTCATTCCGGCGCCACCAGTCTCTTCGGAGACAACGAACAACATGCCAAGACTAGGGGTGTCGGTCCGTGACTGAAAGAACTTGTGTGATGCAACGATCATAGTTGCTACGGGGCCTTTTGCGTCGACCGTTCCACGACCGAAGTGATAGACTGTGCCATTTTCTTCTCTGCGCTCGAAAGGGTAAAATGGCGGCACCTGGTTCTACGTTAGGACTTGCTACCTGTTACATGTCATGCCATGTATACTGACCGTATCAATATGGCTAGTGATCAAGACCTCTGGCCAAACACCTTCGTCTTTCAGCTCCTGTGGATAGGCGAATACATTGAAAGTGCCGGTGTCTCCAACAGGAACTTCCTCGACGTAGTACCCCAAGTTCGACAGGTATTCCGATAAGAACTCTGCACCTTCCACTTCATCTCCGGATATGGACGGGATGTTGACTAACTCCTCATGAAGGCTAAATAATTCGTCCGTCTCCTCGGCAGTAAGGGTCACCGAACTTGATGCCGATGGGCTGGCAGAGCTTACAGCTGATGGCGATACCGAAGCTTGGGGTGCTGCAATGGCTGATCTCAGGAATACTAGAGCTACGAGAGACTTGATAGAGACCATGTTGACAGTTGTTATGGACGCTAATGCTTTGAACCTGTCGCTGTGTCATGCAAAATCGAGGGAATGCATCTACCTTTATATTTTGAGCGTAACCCTGCAAAGACAGGACTTATCTTCCAAGCCATACTCAGGCCTTCCGCTCTAATCATAACCCGCATTGCCTCAACTTCTCGAACGACAGGGTTGGATGCAAGATTTGATCCTTAATAGTTGGCATACGTCGCTCGGCATTTGGTACATCACTCCTCGGTAGGCAAAACACCGTTTTCTAGTTGGAGCCAAGAGGAGCTACCTCTATGAAATGCATTCGAGACTGTTTCACTGGACTGTCAGTGAAGATCGACGAACTACAAGCATAAGCCAAGGAACTCGTTGCCCGCCAAGAAAGCTGGTTTGGTACTCGAAAGAAGATAGCTGATTTACGTAACCTGTGCCGCAGATTTATGTTCACGATAGTTGCTTTCCCCCACTGCACGGACAAAAGCGGGATGATGTCAACGGCGACAACGGCTGCAAATGCGGGGTGGTTAGCTGTTGTCGAGCTCCTGGTAATGATAAGCGGTCTCTTGGCAGCCATGGCAGCATAAGAAGCGTCTTGGAGTTTTCTGCATCGTATCATATCGGATAGTTGCAAGATCAGTGCCGTAGACGCGGTAGAAGTATCGGACATAGGCGCTATGGAGACAAGACAGACGCAGTGGGGCCTCAAACGCAATTTCATAACGAGACGAGAGAAACAGTCGCTGGCTACATGCTTTGCGATATAGATCGGAATAGAATCAAATTCCATGTCTGCGCAATTTGGTATGAGAAGGGGCCGTGATGATGTTGGGACGATTCGGAGCCACTCCCACTGGTAAGGACACTTTCATGGTTAGGTCTGGTTGAACATACCCAAGTGAGGGACCTGTTGACCTGGTCAATTCAAAATTCTGAGAAGTACAGAGACAGCTGAAGAATGCGACCAATTCGGAAAGTTGATGTGTTGTTGGTGGTAGTGGTGGTGGTGGTTGGTGCTGCTCAGGCGTTGTCCGATCAGTACGCGTTCGCAACGCGGGTTCGAGAAAGTCGCGACAGTGAACATCACCTGGATGATGCCTAAGTATTGCACAACCACTAGGATCTGAGTTTGCACGAGTCCGGTGTCTTGAGACATATTTCCTAGACGTGATTAGTCTGTTCTCCCAGCAGCTGACATTTGGGAGCTCACACACAAAGGACCGAAAGCGGATAGCGCGCCGCTCTTGACCGACTGACGTACATCCCATGGATCATCTGGCTGAGCCACTCCACACCTCCGCCCGCGTATCCGTGAGGCTTGAGCTTTCGCTACCTGCAAGTCTCAGGCCTGCATCTATCACCTAAACACCGACATCTCAAGAAGATACCCCAACAACTGCGACCATGTTCGGCTTTGTCGCAGACGGTTTGACGTAAGTGTACCCCGCCCCCGCAGTCAGGTATCAATTCGCGAGCAAGCTTTGAAGCCTAGCATGATATCGCGAGCTCCACCGCTTGCGTTCCCGAAGCTCGCATGACTCCGATATGCAGTGTTTCTTTTTTGCTGCGATATATTCAAAGATCACCTAGCTAATCATGCTACAGTGTCGCAACTACAGTCTTCTTTCCTATCTTCGCGTCCTACAAAGCTCTCCACACCTCAGATCCAGCCCTCCTCGCACCCTGGCTGATCTACTTCGTCGTCCTTTCAGCCTGCACCGCCGTGGAAAACACATTCGACTTCATCCTTAGCTGGGTGCCCTTCTATTCATGGATTCGCTTCTTCGCACACCTATACCTGATCCTGCCTGGTTCGCAGGGCGCAGGCTACCTGTACCAGGAGTACATGGAACCTTTTCTCTACCACCATGAGCGCGAAATCGACGAGTTCATTACCCAGAGTCATGATCGCGCCAAGTCAGCAGGTATAGCATACGTCGAGATGGGTATTGAGTGGGTAAAGGTCAACGTGTTGGGCTTTGCACCCAGGAAGCCCGACTCACCGAGGCCCGATGGACAGACGTACGCGCAAAACCTCATGAGCAGGTTCCAGATGCCGTCAGCAAGGGGCAGTAATGATCTATACGGGCTGGTCAACCAGGCGCTCAGCGGAGCCAGTGCGCTTTATGGTGCTGCCGGTACCGCAGGTACAAGAGACGCGCAAGCCTCGGACCTGAGCCGTGGTGCAGGAAACCTCGTCCCCGACTCTATCCGCAACAACGACGACCGACTAAACTACGTAACGTCACAACGTCAGCGTCTCGAGACCCTTCTACAAGCATTCGACCGCGAGCAAGATAACATCCGCTCACAGCAAACTGGTGGAAACAGATACCATGAAGTTAACAGGAGTACCGGAAGCCTTTCTGGTAGCCTGTCTCGCAATAGGAGCGAAGCCGAATTCGACAGGATTGAGCGCGACGAATTGAGCTCAGGCTCCGACCGACCACCGTACCCCATCACACCGCCCGCACTAGGCCGAAGGACAAGCAGTGGTTGGATGCCGTGGAACTGGCAGCGTCAGGAACAGCCTCGGGACGATCCACTTGCATACGGCAGGGAGCCGAGCGATATCAGGAACAGATCGAGGGCTTCGGGTTTCGATCTAGGCGATCGCTAAAAGAACCCCTGGCGCACAAAATCTGTGATACGACCACAGTATCACGCGGCGTTTGGGTAAGACACTAGATAGCATTCTGCTAGGCTTCACGACTATGATGAAGCGGTATATATTTGGTATCACAATTCTTGAGCATGAGTTGGGACGGGTTGTCCTGATGATCTTACAACCTATCTATACATCCACACTTGGTTTATGTGCACTCATTACGCCTGCAAATGCGTCTACCTTTTTCCTATGTGTTCCAACACATTCTCGAGCCAAACTACAATTTGACTTCTTTGTATGGGTATCTGGCGCTGTCGTCCTTTCTCAGCACTATCTTCCTCTTCTTCTTGGTGCTCACATGCTCCACCCATATTTCCTTTGTCATCTTGTTCGTGAACTCCCTGATGAAGCGTGGGTCCCAGAGTTCAGAAGCAATACCCAAGTCTTTACAGCATCGCATCAAGGCGTTGGATTTGCAGCCTTCGGTCGCAGTGGGAATACCGTCAGGGTCGAAGTACTGTTGCTCGCCACGGGCAATGGAAACGAGTCTGATTTTTCGTTAGCATAGATGCAGAAGAATTGCCAAAGGGTGGGCAGAGAAACATACCGTCCTTGGACAATGAGTCCATATTCCCTCGTCACCAGCTTTCCAGTAACGATACTCTCGCCTCTTGGTGCTAAGCCCCAACCTCCTGGCCCGAATGCCTTGTTCAATATCCGCCTGTACTTGATCTCGGGCAAGTATATGATACCGTCTGGCTTCACCTCGACATCGTCCTGTGTAATGGGCGCGAGCAGCGTGTCCGACTGCTCTGGTGTGAAAGATATGCTGCCAAGGCCATGGTACGAGCGAGTCCAGTCTATGGCTGGTACGCCTTCTAGCTCGGGAGGTGCATCGGACAGTCCCTCGGTAAGCGAACGTTGTTTTTGGGCTGCTGATGCTGCGGTTTCTGCGGTGCTGTTGCGTGTGGTGGGCACGGGAGGCTCTTTCGCAGGAAATGAGGGAGTTACTGTCCGTTGTGGGGTTGCTGAGGTTGTGGGCTTTGACGCAGTTGACGTTGAAGTCGCAGGTTTCGCAGCTGTCGAAGTGCTAGTCGTGGTTGCCGCTGCTGCTTTAGGTGCAGTCGCGTATGCGGCGCAGATGCGGGATGAAGAGAAGCTTCGTTTTTGTGTCCGGCTGGCGATTGATGATGCTCTGGATGACGAAGCAGAGAAAAGAGCCGAAAGGCCTCTGCGAGCGGGTGTGGCTGCCATTATAGAAGCGCAAGGGTGTGCGGGGTTCGATTTGTTGCTCTTGACGGACCTCGATGCCCCAACGCGAAGTCACGATCTGATAGGCGCACGGGCCAGGCCTTCCTATGCGAATGCGATCGCTTCCAGCAGCCCACACCAAAACCCGTCTTGGTCCAGGAGCCATTACACACTAAGAACGATCGCCTTCTTTGACCAATCGCATCAACTTCCAGTTGCATTACGCCTATCGCCATATCCTCCACTGGTCTTCGCGTTCGAGCTTGATGCATCTGTTCCTTTCGCTAGATCTCATACATCCAATGCCAATCTCCTTCATCGGATTTGGTCTCCAGACACGACTCGTCCTTGGTGTCTGCCTGAACGCGCACGCGTGTGCGAGTTGGGATAATGTAACCATGCAGATCACCCGGTTTCCCCACAGTTAGATGGGCATCGCTACCGTATGCACCGTATAAATTCAATTCTCCGAAGGATCGGACCATGAAACTGGAACGGACGAATGTGTCCTGTGTCCTGCGCAGTACAAACAGCTGCTGTGCCTTGTTCCCGACCTTCCGACAGGGTAGATTTCGGACAAACTCGATAATCCTTGAACCGGACGACTATCGTGGATGAAACCATGTGTGAATGCCTAAGTCGCTACAAATGCCCCATTAGGTGTGACCTTGAACTACTCGAGGCGATCATTTGACCCTGGCTACCCACCCCGACGTCAACGGTACTAGGCGAGCTGACAAGCCACCCATCGACGTATGAAACGCGTCAACCTATTCCGCTTCTTCTAGTGCGAGAATGGAGGAGCTTGTACCTCGTTCCTACTTAAGGCTTGCTCGTGCCCTGCATTTAGATCATCCCATGGTGGCTGAAGTCTAGGCATCATGGCTTCTACATCAGCAAAGGGTCCTACAGGACTCTCCAAACTCTTGAACATCACTTCGGCATCGCAAATTGTTGGCGCTCTACTTGGTTTTGTAAGTGTTGTTATGCGTGATCGAAACTTACGAAAAAGGACATCCGCTAATGTGCGACAGCTGGTTGTTCGCTTCGTTGCCAGAGCCATCTACCGCGTATACTTCCACCCCCTCAGACATTTCCCAGGGCCCAAATTAAACGCTGCGACGCGCATCCCGTTCCACATCGCGATCTGGAAAGGGACAAGGGACAAGCTCTTCCAAGACTTGCACCGAAAGTACGGCCACATCGTCCGGGTCAATCACGATGAGCTGAGTGTCACGGATCCAAATGCCTGGAAAGATGTAAGTGTCACATTTCATAATGCACACAATTACCGGCTAATAAAGTCCTAGATCTATGGTCATGGCACGAAAGGCACTGCCGGGTCTGTCCCTCACAAAGACTGGTTCAAGTACGGTAGCTCGCCCAACGGTGCGGTCAGTATCATTCTCGCCCGCGACCAAGACCATAGTCGCCAACGCAAGATCTTCACCCCCGCGTTCTCAGACCGTGCGCTCAAACAACAGGAACCGCTCTTCGTCAAATACGTAGACAAACTTGTTACTCGGTTGAGACAAACGGTCGAGAACAACCCGAATGAGAAGCTGGACATGGTTCGTCTCTATAACTTCTGCACATTCGATGTCATGGGCGATTTGACTTTCGGAGAACCGCTGCACATGCTTGATAAGGGCGATTACGATCCCTGGGTCAGCACCATCTTTGCAAGTCTCAAGGTGGGATCTTACTTGAGTGTGATGATGGCATATCCTTGGTTATGGAGGGCTTTCAAGAAATATGTACCTGAGTCTGTGAACAAGAGGAGGATGGATCACTTCAACCACTCCGTAACGCGCGTCACAAAACGCCTCGATAAGGGTCGAGATACCGAGGGTGTCGACCTCTGGGATCTTGTGTTGGGCCAAAAGGAGGGACGAGGCTTGACCAGAGGAGAGATGGATGCGAACTCGTCTATTTTCATGATTGCCGGAACTGAGACAACGGCTACCCTGGTATCAGGGTTGACGTACTTGCTTCTGCGTAACCCTGAATGCATGGAGAAGCTCAACGACGAGATACGTGGCGCCTTTGCCAGTGATGCTGATATGACCATGGAACAGCTCGCCGCGCTGCCGTATCTAGCATCATGCCTTAAGGAAGCTTTCCGTCTTTACCCACCGGTTCCACTAGGACTTCCGCGCCTTACACCGCAGGACGGCAGCACTGTCGTGGGCCAATTTATACCACCCGGCGTGGTTCTGAGCATCCCTCAACACGCGATGTATACACACGAGAAGAACTTCAAAAGACCTTTTGAGTTTCTTCCACAAAGATGGTTGGGTGACCCCGAGTTTGATGCCGACGAGAGGCAGTGCCTTCAGCCATTCTCTATTGGATCTAGAGATTGCCTCGGTAAGAAGTAAGTCAAAACCTTGTCATCTTTTAGTGTGTATTTCTTGTAGATCAGACGCTAACCATTGGTGAAGCATGGCATATCACGAGATGCGTCTTATAATCGCCAAAACCTTGTATAACTTCGATATCGAGCTTTGCCCCGAGAGCAACAACTGGGAAGAACAGGCGACCTACATTCTCTGGGAGAAGAAGCCTCTGGTTTGCAAACTGAGGCCAGTCAACTAGAAGAAGTCCGTAGTACGAACATGACGAAAGCCAATAGAATCATGAATTATATATGTAGTTTTACCCTTTGGGTTTCTCTTATCACACCCTCTTCTTGCTCTTCAAATACCAACATCCTCCACGCGCAAAAGCCCAGATCCCATGCCCGCGACAGCCCATGTACCGAACTTCAAATTTGGATTCCAAGCGAGTGCTGTAATAGCAGTTTGCTCTTCGAAGATACTGATGGACCTTCCAACTTCTGGGTTTCCTCTCTTGGTAGCTGCACTGGTGTGCGCAATGCCTGTTTGACCTGCTTTGTAACCCTCGGTGATGCGGACGAGAGGTTGGGAAAGTATTTCTTGGGGTACCTTCTTGGCCTCATCAGCAGACGCCCCCACTTGCGGTTCTGATGTGGCGTCATTGTTCGACTGCTCAACTGGCCCTCCTTCGGCCGCCACAACATCTGCATCAGTCGGCTTGACTAGCATCCGCTCCATCGGTCCTCTCCATTCGTGTACGAACCATTTCTGCTGCCATGGCATGATTTTGTAGTTTGTGATACGCATGATCGGGTTGCTTGTTTGAACATCTCCATCGGTTCCACCGACAAGTACACCGGGGTGTACCGGGCTTGTCGCGACTCTAGTGATACTATTTTCTAGTCGCATGCTGTACAAGTTGTGGTAGTAGCGACGTATGGGTGTGTGTCTTAGGATATAGTGTTCGTCTGGCATGACAAAAGACTGTGTATGCTCATGCCAGGCTTGCGCTAGACATAGTGTGCGACCGCGTATTGAAACAACAGTATCAGCAGTCGGACTTCTTATGTCAATGAGGCGCGCAAATCCATCTGCGGTACTTATAGACAGAAACTGAGGATTAGATGGCCATCCGGATGATATCGTGAGAATGTATGTGTCGGCTACTTGCTGATAAAACCAAGGTCTTGGACTGTAATTGTTGGCCTCGGACGCTGCGAGCGTTCCTGGATGGGTCAAGGACCAGATACCGACAGTACCTGCCGCTGTCGCAACTGCGAGCGTAGTCCCCGACAACCAGTGTAAACAGGAAGGTACTGTTTGAGGAAATGAGACTTCAAACGCTGCGTGCGTAACGTGAAGATAAGTAGGGGCGTGTAGGTCAGGCTCAGAAACCGGAGCGGATACATCTAATACACGCACTCGTCCATCCGACCAAAGGCAGGCGAGTATGCCTATGTGTGTGTTTCTCCGACCATCCGAATTTCGATTGTCGTCTGTCGCTGCGATCGGGCACCATCTTAGTTGTTTCGGCGCGCCCCAGTCAGCGCAGATAACAAGCTCAAGTCTAGGCTCTGTCTTTGCATTCAAGAAGCCTTCGTCTTCGGCTTGGAACGCCCATATCTGAATACACGCAGGAAACGGCTGAGTAGGGTTGAAGGCAGGTGCTTTTGGCTGCTCCATTGGCTTGGGCTGGTCCTCGCTCGTCAGTCTCTGCTCAACAGCAACAGCGAGATATTGGGTATTGCTGTCTTCATTGCTCGCCCATTGAGCATCCTGTATCCATGAGCCGAAATTGAAGAGCCAACCGCGTCTATCTTGACTTGCTGGGAATGGTTTCGCAATGTTCATGTACGAACCTTTCGCCAATGTGTTGACTTGGGGCGTGTTCACGGGTCCAGCTAGCACGTTCACAGTCTCCAGCCCTGGTGTCATCATGTACTCTTTGGCCTCATCCTTGGTCAATGTTTTCGTTCTTTGGGCTCTTGCAAAAGCGGACTTTCCAGTATCGGCATACCATGTCCTCAATGCTTCACTCTCCTTTTCCCTAGCACCGCTAACTTCGAAGAAGCTTCTTCTTAAGCTGCCGACATCAGCGTCGTCGGAACTGACCTTGGCGAAACTTCGAATGGGGAATGTTTCCTGTGGAAACCAGTAGTCGCGTGAGGCCAGGACGGGCTTGAGATGCGCTGCATCTGGACCGAATAGATTTTTTAATCGTGGCTCATGACCACCAATCTTATCGAAGTCGGGGATACCACGCGTCCGCAACTGGGCGTCGGCATCCACAGGACGTACCTTAACACCACTGCCTTTAGCGAACGTTACGGGTGAGGGAATGTTGTCTGTGAGTTTCTTAGCGCGTCGGACTGCCGGGGTGGTTGGCACAGCGCGAACAGCCTTCGGTCCACGCGCGTTGCGTCTTGGAGGCCCCGTAGAATCCTCATCGGAATCGTCGTCTTCCTCTTCCTCCGATACATCTTCATCCTCTTCCGCTACCTCTTCATCTTCGTCATACTCAAGTTCACCATCCTGGGCATCTGGCATGAAGGCGTCGCCATCGTCGTCGTCATCGTCATCGCCCTGGAAGGCTGGGGTCTGCGTGCCAGAAGGCACGGAGCCATCCTCATCCTCATCAAGGAACGAGTATTCTTCTCCGACGCGATAGGACTTGAGTTGTTTGCCTCGCGACTGCCGGGGTGACGAATGGTCTAATGCGAGCGTCAGTGCTGTCCAGTCACGTTGGAGACGCAAGCAAGGTCGCCAAATACAGCACTAGCTCCGAGTGTATTTCTTCACCCAGAGGTCTAACAAGCTCAGAATGCTGAGAATACCACAAGCAGACTGAAGAAGCTCTGATCAAACAACATGGAATCTCACATGTGAAGGTCTTAGTACATACCCATAGGTGTTTCGAGCTATCAGGCGTGCTGCTTTGTGGTCACAGATTGGGTAGAGAAAGAGCGCGTCGGACGCGACCAGAAAACCAGCCCCACCATCAGTGGAGAGCACAGACCCACATGACCCCGCACCACGTCCAAAATTCTGCAATGCAAACACGCCTTTTCGAATGGTGCGGATTAGCTCGACGGCGCGGCTGGCATCTACAAAGAAACAATATATTTCCAACAAATCTTGATCTTTCCATCAAAACGAATCACTTCGGGTAAGCTCAATTCACCTGCCTCGTCAATACACACCAGCTAACAACCCCATCGTGGTATGGTCTAGTGGTATGACGTCGCGTTGTGGCTGGCGGACACCTAGTGTCCCGATCCAGATCCGCGCCAGCCTGGGTTCGAGTACGTTCATCCGCACATTGTCGGTCCTGAGACATCTCTAACATGTCTACAGTTCCCAGTACCGCCAATAAATTGCGACATTCTTTTTTTGCTCCTGGCCCGTCACTCAACGAACAAGATGTAAACTCCATGCGCTCTCTTTTTGCTAATGTAGATGTTATTTGCGTAGGAGTGCAGTGAATAGATGAAAAGTGTGCTTTTCTTTCTCAAGTCTACCTACGAGACAAACACATGTAACACGACAGTTATGATGTAAGTAAGCATATGCTTTTCTAGATTGCTGCACCCTCCTATCAAAGTCTGTCACACTTCGGGCGTAGATAATTATATGAGTAGGCTCAGATTGCGTTTGAGCAATCGCTGCGTCTTCATGCGAGCTTCCCATAGGTAAAACTCTTGTCGCAATAGAATATTCAGTATCTGTTACCGTTGAAGCGACGACCTGCAATTTTTGCTACGTGACATAAAAAATACAAGTAAGAAACGTCTAAGCATGCGGAACTATGTCTTACTAATTTCTGCAAGAGATCATAGAGTACCGCATCACTAGTAAGGCATTTGCGTAGATCAGTGACAATATAAGGTGATGGTACCAATCAGAAAGCAAAGTGGACAGTTTGATAATCCATTATATCGAGAGAGACTACTAGTTCAAGATCATATAGATTGGCTAGATTCTGAATAATCTTTTTACGCATGCCACAAATGCATTCATGCAGACTCACTATCCACATCGTCCTTGCCAAACTCTGTTGATGATTAAAAAGAAAAGTGCAGTACATGTGTTACGCATACAGCCCTATATGATGGGTATCTAGAAAGAACATGCTCCACGTTCCCCGTGATGCGCCATCCATGACAAATGACCATTAACGCGTTGTACGCCGAATCTATAGTAGTACAAAGTATATAAACAGAATGTCAAATCTCTTAACGCATCACTGAACCCATAGTCATGAGAATTTTACTACTTCTCAGTGTCAACGTCCATTTCATCCACGTCCTTCTTTCCAGCACCACGTACATTGACGTGGATAGTATCTTCGTCGTCGTCATCTACTGGCGCACTCTTTGACCCAGCATTGCCCTCTCCTGAAACCGTCTCAGTTCTCTTCTCTACAGGGCTAGCTCGACTAGCTGCCAGATTGGGAAACAGAGGTTTGCCAGCGATGGATACAGATCGACGCAGATTGTCGTTTTGAACTTCTTGATGAATCTCCTCAACTTCGTCCTCGTCCAGTTCGCTGAGTTCGCTCTCGTCGTCGGCGTCATCGTGGATAGAGGCTGGCGCACTGCGTTCGGGCTCGTCGTTATTTATACTGGCAGCTGCAGTGTCCGTGCCACTCTTGTCGAACGTGGGCTGTAGGTGTTCAGCAGATGTGCTCGGTCCAGGTGCGGGTTGTGCGGCGGTTTCGGGTGATGCCGCTTGTCCAACAATAGAAGGAATCGTGGTGTCACCAGGCGCAGGCGATCGGATCGGCATCGACGTTGGCTGAGCAGGTGTACTGGCGATTTTTTGGACACATGCTTCGGCTCGACGAGCGATCTCCCTGCGACCCACAGCCTTGGCTCTTGGTTTCGGGACCTGTTCGGGTTGCGGTGGCATCTGGGGTGCGGAAGGCGGATGTTGTGGCTGGAGCTGGTTGGGATGATACATGCTGAACGGCGTGCCAGAGCTTCCATCAGCAGCTCCATCGACCTGGACCTGCATCAACGAGGATATAGGTACAGCACCTGCAGAAGCTGGATTGGGAGCAAAAGGAGACGGGTGAGGTTGGGTAGGCTGCACAGGCGGCTGTGGTTGTTGCTCTGACTGTAAGGGGGGTAGCGCAGGCCCGATCGAGGTGTATAGCATTGCGTACGCATCGCCAATCAGATCATCGATAAGAAGGGGCTTCATCATGCCGTTGTTCAGACGCTTGAGCTCAATGGCATCACGGAGAATGTCCAACACGGGATGCTGCGTCTCTGGATTCTGACACCACGCTTCCAAGCGAAGAGCCAGGGTGTTAAACTCGTCGTGGTTGACGGACTTGAAAGCAGAGTCTTCTTGGCCTTCAGGTACGCTACCCATCTTTCGCAGCATTCTGATGTATCGTAGACACAAGTCCTGCCACAGCTTTTGGTGCTCGAAGAAGTCAGTCTGCTTCCGCCTTACACGCTTGGCAAGAGCCTCGAAGTTGGTCTTGTCTCCAGTGAGATCCAGGAGTTCAATGAAGAACTTGGTGTACCGAGTGGTGTAGACAAAATGCCGACCAGGCCGCTCATTCTCAGGTTTCCAGACTTGGACAGCCATGGTTTTGGTGAACATTTGCTGGGTGAGTTCGTGTTTAGCCTCACTAGCAGTTGCCGGATCTCTACCGGTATCGTAGATGATATGAGCAACGCGAGATATGATCCGATGGTGCCAGCTTGACTTGTCGGCTGCGCGCAGTGACTTCAAGACTGCGAGTATGTATCGCTGCCAGTCCCCTTCGTTCTCTGGGGCTTTGATATTCTGTGCATAGGAAGTGTTTGCAAGGATCTCAGGCCCCTTTTCGTAGTTGATGGCTCCACGCTGGTGTAACTTGTGTGTGATGGATACGAGCTTGTAGTGCGGCTCGAGGACAGGCTCGCCGCTGCGGCCCTTCTTCCCTGGCAGTGTCTCAATGGCGCTCACAAAGGCGTCCACGACAGATTCCCAGGTGGGCCCCTTTTGAGGGCCCAGCGGTGCACCTATTGATTTCCCATACTGCAAGGCGCTATCATTGGCCGACCACATCTTCCACCCACACTTTCCAAGCATGAAGTGGTTCCACCATTTATTCGGATTTCCTTTGATAGCTCTCTTGTAAAGAGTGCTTGCGAACTTCCAAGCAGTGTAGGCATGCAACGGAACGAAAACAACCTCCTTGTACAAGGACGCGTTCGTTTGTAGATTGCAGAATCGTTTCTCACTCTCGCGAATCTGGAATGCCTCCATACCAAACGGCTCCCTGGACGACGCGTACATACGATTCCCGAACTCAGTGTACATCTGCGCGATCTTGCTTTGGGTTCCCGGCGCTACGTCAGCATCGCGAGTAGCGCATGCCACAGCCATGATGTAACAGTTGATCGCCGCACGTTGGAAATTAACCACTTCAGCGCTGTTACTGTTCATCTTATCCGCGTTCCAGGACACGGCTTCTTCGAGCTGCGTGTCGTTGGCTTGGGCAAGACGATACCAGGTCTCCCAACGTTCGATGGAATGCTCCAGATCCTGCACGAAGAACGCTTGGGCGTAGTTGAGGTCTTCTGTTGGTCCTTGGGTTACACGTTTCTGTGATCGGAACTTGCTCAGCGCCATGTTGCCCATCATATAGTACCATCCCTTCGATGCGGCTACCGCTTCCTCAGGGGGGATGTGCTTTGTGGCGAGCGAACCAACACCTTTGAGACATCCAAAAAGTGCTACAGGATTGACGGGCGATTTGAAGTAACTAGATATGACTTTGCGGTTGAAGGTGATGTCCTCGTTCTGCTTAGGTCGGCCAAGAGCAGCATGGACCTTCTCTATGGTGCCTTTGAGTTCGTGCTTGGGTAGGTCCTTGAGATCGACCTTTGCAGCTTGCGACATCGTGAAAGACAATATACTAAAGGCAGTCTTCTTGTCAAGTACGTCTGTTGTGGTCTGGAAGTTCTGACATTCCAGAGGATCAACGAACAACTTCAATCCGTACAGATCGTTGAGTATCTGGCAGAGCTCGGTGGCATGACTAGGGCCATCGGTAATATCGTCCATGCGTAGCAGCTCGTCTTTCGCAAGCCTCAAGAATTGGCGGTTGGAAAGATGGCAGAAACTACGCACACCTGTGGCATGGTGCACATGGCGAATGTACTCGAACAAATCATCCGACGGATTGGGGAACGCTTCCGATTCTTGAGACATCCCATCTTTGAGTAAGTGGTACTGCAATATCCAGAGTCGTAGGTGAATGTCGTCAAGCCGTGACATCATGTTGACAAATGCTGAGCTTGGCTGGGATTCGACTCTAGGCATAGGAATATGGTTGACGCGAATCAGGTCTCGGAGCATGTCTGCCGCTGACATGATGTGCAACAGCTCGGTGATAGCTGACATGGACGATTGAACATGCTCGTATGGAATGGATGCGAATGGTGCTTCATTATCTCGAACGATCTGAATGATTTTTACAACCATGTCGTCGATGACCCGGTACCGGGTCAACAGCTTATGTTGCCGGTCTAGTACTGGAAGTTCCTGGAAAGTCGTAGACCTCAGATCCGTCACGAGGGCCTCAATGCTCCGGAGGAAGCATGACAAAACTTTGGAAGGATAATCGATAGCCTCATAAGCGACACGTAATCTGTTCCAAAGGGAGAGCCGGACGTTGACGTTCGCAGAATCCAGAAATTTGCGCATCTCCAAGATGGGTGAAGCGCGATCAAGTTGCTGCTCGGAGTTGGTACTTGTGGAGGGCGAGATGGATGTATCAGTGCCGCCATGTTCCGTTCCATCTGGCTTCGGGGGTGTATTGAGCTCAGTAGCATTCGCAAGCTCCAAGATCGGTTCCAGGCTTTCTACGACCGTTACTGGATCCTGTTCCTCCTGGTCGAAGACCTTCAGGAAGAAGTCTTTCATGCTGATGCGCACGAGTTCT